ACGACTGTGCTTAGTCATTTTTAAGCGATGAATTTACATTCAACATAAGTTAATGCACAGTATAGATCTTTGGTCTTTGGGTCCACACATCAGATAGGTAGAATGCCACGTAGGCTTCAAATAGCTCGTCTTTGAAAGGTATTGGTCAATTCCAATTTCCGTGGCTCTTTAAACAATGAAAAGGTAATATCCATTGGATGCTTCTCTCATCTTTCAAAAATGTCTATTCCCATTGGCTGCCGTTTTCAATGCCTTCCAGTCAACAACACTCACCACAAGAGAAAGTTCTCAATCAATAAATGCTACATTTTTCACTGATTAAACGTATTCTTATCGAACACAAAAACAATAATAATAATAATAATATAACTACGTAGTATGGAGTCAAAAAGTATTTTTCTTCTTTTTGCAAAAATAAGTTTAAAAATAAAATAAAAACAGTGATAGCATAATTTCTCTTTATATTTTGACATTTGTACTTTGATGTAAAATGATCAAAACCATTTACTCTGGTGCATAATTTTCTTTATAAAATTTAGCACCAACACATAAGTTTTTTGAAACGCATGTAGCAGAAAAAATTGTATTACATTCTTTTTTTTTTCAAGTTAAAGTAAACACATACACTTGTTATACACAATAAGTGATAGACAAATGCAACATTGTGTAAAATTATACACTGGTGCATAACATTACACATTCGTGTGTCATTGTAGTAGAAAAGATATTTAAGTCGTTATGAATAAAATGAAGAAGGACAGAATGGGTATGATAAATTTTTCCGAGATGATATATAAAATTTAAAATTTAACATTGTCACTCGTATATAAAATTTAAAATTAACACGTCATTTACTGTTATATGGAGGCAAGTATTGTTAATATTATCATAAGGACATCAAGATACAGATGAATCAATTCAAATTATCCAATCAAGTGGCACCATATATTAGTGAAGTTTAATTAGTATAAAAAATAAAACATACATATAAGAATTCTTTTAAATTAATCTGTTACTTCACTCAAACTAAAGGCTTGAACACTCAGATCTCCCATTTGAGAAGGAAGTCTTGTACCAGCTACTATATACATATACATATAATATATATATATATATATATATATATATATATATATATATATATTTGTGTGACTCCAAAAGTAAAACACATAGTCCTAGCTAGCTCCTAGATAAGGAAACTTAAAGCCAAACCGATAGATCTATTGAATTCTCTTTTGCCATTAAGGGAAGAAGCTTTTATATATAAATGATTTATGGTTTTATAAGGTCTAGCGAATTGATAGGGAATGGGAATCTAAAGCATGTCTATGATTGATCTCATTTGGGAGAACGTGAGGATGAGTGTATTCAGAACATCTTGGAATCTCAGTCTCTCTTTCTCCACCTGTAATTACGGGTATGTCATACACACACACACACACACAAAAAAGAGTATCTATTCCTATACATGGGCATATATAGAAGAGAAGGACGTTAGAAAAAGCGAAAGCTGCTGCTGTACAGACAGATAGAGAGAGATCTCTATTCTAGAGAGAGAATATCACACTCATACCGAAAGTGGTCACCAACATGTATAGTGAAGAAGGAAGATAGTAGATTTTGCTTGGATTTCGGAGCCATCCTTCGACTTCTTTCCTCTTCGTGTACTACTCTTCTTGACTTCCCTATATATGTGTGTGTGTGTATAATTATCGTCAATTTCGGGACGGATCAGTACAGTCAATAAACAGCCCACTGATTACTCAATAAATGAAGAGGACCAACCGACCAAGATTCAGATAATAATCTGAACACGTATGGGATATATACATGTACATATAGTCATATATATCTATCTATATATATAGAGAGAGAGAAAGAGAGCTTTTTGGAGGGTTCATTTAGTGGCTATTGAGTTGCTTTATTCCTTCTTAGTAAGCAGTCTTGGTTGTTGCAAAAGCGAATCCGCACACCTATAAGATTCCTTTCTTCTTTCATCATCATCAACCACAATTATTGGATTATATATATAGTAACATTATTCTTTAACACCAAAAAAATAAAAATAAAATGTTTATCTACGGTTCCTTTGATAGACTTACACACTTGCCTTCACTACCTACCCGTCCTACATATAACTATCGGCAACCTTCTTTTTTTTTTTTTTTTTTTTTTTTTTTTCGGAATATCTAACAATTATATATATATAGAGTAAAACAATTTCTCATTTTTATTTTTTAAAGCTTACCTATTAACCAAAAAAAAAAAAAAAAAAAAAAAAAAACTTCTTAAATGATGTGGGACTTGATATTTAGTCGTTTTAGACTTATTTGTTGGACTATTGAGTACATAGTTACACTTTTTTCTGTTTTTTTTTTTCTTTTTTCTAACATCAAAATACACCGGATTTTAAGTGGGACAAAAATTAAGATCAATGTATGTTCTCCCAAGTCTTAATCTCTTTTATTTTTCAGTGGTTAAGAATAGAAAGAAAAATTAAATATCAAGCGTTCTAGTCTAATGGTACTTATCAAACGTTTTAGTCCGTGTGTGTCTTGTCAAGATGTGTAAAAATAAAAAAGAAAAGCAATTGATAATAGATAGAGGCAAAAGTACAACTTCCAGAGTAGAAGGTGGGTGAATGGTAAATTGGTAATAGATAAGATACATAGTCCTGTAATTTTAAATTAATTGATTGCCACTTGTTAGCCATGGGCAAAATTGTCCTTTTATTTTTTGTGAAAATATATATTTTTTTAACATTAACAAGAAACTTACTTAAACACATTTTTTTTTATTAATACGAGCTTAAATACCTCTCATTCTTCTAAAAGATAGAGAGATTATATCATTAGATTAGATGTCTTTTGATTAAGTAAAAAAAAATATTAAAATAAAAATAATATTTTAATTTAGTCAATGACAAGGTAAAATAGATCGAAAGTCACTTCACTCGTAAAGGAACAAAGAGTTAGCAAAAGATGTAATTAATCACAAACTCTACATCAATTTTTTTTTTCAAATTTTTCCCATTATTTAAAGGACAAAGAATCTACTATTGTACTAGAAGTTTTTCACCAACCCTTCTTATTTTAAACCAAACACGAATAAAGTCAATATCACTTCTTCGGTCTTCTTTTCCTTTGAATTCCTTCAATGCAATTGCATTTCTAAGCGTGTCAAAAGGATGAATATATAATAATAGTAAAGAATTGTCTGCACTTGACAACAAACCAAAAATGTATTCTTAGACTGGACTTGTTGATCTTTGACTCTTTGTTTTGTGAATTTTCAGAAAACTTGGGAATTTTTAGTTTCCAAGGCGGTATGGTATTGTCTTGTTTGGAACTGAGTGCCATATTGGCGTTTTGTGCAGCTCTAAGTTAGGGCAAAGTTTAACAGGCCAACCCCATGCGAGTTAAGTAAATTTGGACCAATCTTAAATGAGCCTGGGTTATAGGTTGGTTTGACATAATTAATTTATTTAATTAATTGTATCATATTTAAGTTGAGGGATTCATTTCGTAGAATTCGTTTAACTATATGATTCATAAACATATTTTTATTTGATAAGTAAGTCATTAAACGGGTTTTACGTATCACCGTTTAATAAATAGGTAAGATTATTACTAAGAGTTCTTGATACGATTATTAAACGGGTCATATTCGAATTGATATATTTAATAAAATATTCTTCCATCGACACGACATGGTTAGACCTAAGTAAACGAATTGCTACCCCTACCTAGTTTCACTTACCCTACCAGCGTTTACTATCTCTCAAGTCTCGCCTAACATTTTAACTTAAAAAAAAGTCTCACCAAACATGAGATTTACACACTCATATATATTATATATATACAATAATTATTACATAATCAGGCATCGAAAATCTCAGTCTCTCTTTGTCAAGCAATAATGATTAAAGATACGAGCAACATATTTTCTTCTCGGAGACATGAAAGTACCTAGTAACTACCCACTAGGTGGATCTTCTGATTAGTTTCGGGAATAGGACAGAGTGAATATTTGAACTACAAGCTAAAGATGAAATTAACATCAAATCTGGCACCTCTAAACTGCTAAATTTAAAGCTATTAACTAGAGAAAGAGTCACCAAGATTTTTATTTGTTTATTTTATTTGCCGAGAAAAAAAAAAAAAAAAAAAAAAAAAAAAAGATTTTTCCCATTAAAATTGGGGAGAGAATGAAAATGAGGCTAAACCTTTCAAAAAAAATTTTTTTGAAAATGAGGCTAATTCCAAGAGCAAGACTTACAGATAATGTGTAAGATCAGAAAATAGAAAAATCAGCTAAAGAACCTAATTAACTACCTAGCAGTTCTATTCCAAGAGGTATATACATGGAAATCAGCTCTTGTATACACATTCATCAACCTTTACTTGACATCAATTTGTAGAACTTTTACCAATTATATAGTAACATATATAGTTACATGGGTAAATCCAAAAAAAAAAAAACTCAATTTTAGGAGACACTAACAAATTTACTATTGAGCTTTAGAAGCCAAATTTCAAGTCTCAATAGAGCAACTAATACCAAAATTAATAAGGTGACCTTTAATTAGCTTTGCATTCCAAGCAGTAGATCTTAGTAGTTGGCCATCATTAAGCTAGATTAATTAAAATAGTATAATTCTCGATCAATTTCAGAAATAGCATGAAAATCTAGAAAAGAAAGAGGAGGGACTTGGGAATTTCTTACAGAATTGAAAGGTGGTTGATAAATACAAAGAATTGAAAGCTGATTCAAACTAAAATATCCCATGGTTTTTGTTGAGAGTCCTCAAAAATAACAACTCCATGTATTTTTATTAAGATTTTCGGTTTCATCATTTGCTGGCCAGTTCAACTAGGTAGACCTGATTGGTTTTGCATCCCACCACAATGTGACAATTGCTTCCATTGAAGAATTAATTGAAGCTAATAATTGAGTTTTTGTTAGCATAAAATTCAATAGAAAACAATCAAACCCAATGCTTTTGACAAACTATGAAATTTAGACCTTCATGTCCAATATAGAACTACAAGAACTCGTACACTCCATTTAGTAAACAAGCTCGGACATTACACAAGAAAAACCAAACCAAATTAAAAAGAAAATATATAGGGAAAAGGATAAAATAAAATAAAAACCTACCATTTCTAGGGTTTTCAGTCTGTCTTAGAGAGTGAAAATCTTCAGTCCATCCTGTAAATTCTCCATATTCTCCTTCTTGGCCAACTCGATCATTTAGAACTTTCAAATAATTATGGGAATGAGTATCTTCACTCTTGAGGCTTTAATTACTAGCAAAAAAAAGGGGACTAATTAAGCTTAATCACCACTAAACTATAGAGATCGATCTCAAGAGAAAGAGAGTGAGAGAGAGAGATCGAAATCAATCATAAGGGATTACTAGTGGAAGAAGAGTTAAACCCAGAAAGATCTGTCCATGCAGCACTAGTACCCCAATACTGATCATTTCCAGCTGGGATGCCCAAGAACTGCCTTGACAAATTCAACTGATCTTGATTATTATCCTCCATCTTCACTGAAGCCAACTGAGATACTAGCCCCGAAGCCGACGTTCTCGGCCCGACCTGACTAGCTTCATCACCATAGCCTGAAGCCTCAAGACCACCTTGAAATGGGTACAATAGCCCAGATGATGGCCTCTCCAACCCACCCAACAAAGGGATCTGTGATAAATAGGAACCACCACCAAATGATGAACTGCCTCCAAACTGGAAATTCATGTCACTTGGTGCCACCACTGGTCCCGAAATTCCACTGTAATTTAATCCAATATCTCCTCCACCATAGTCACTGAGCTGATGCTGCAAAGGAGCCATGAAACGTAGTGGCGGAAACTGCGGCGAGAGGCCTATTAGATTAGGGTTTCCACTACTACTGGAAGAAATTGCACTTGTTGAAGCACTTAAGGTCTGGCGATCGCTGCTGACCGGAGATTTCGAGCTACTCCCTTTGCTTCTTTTGTTCCTCCGGCAGCCACCTCCCACCGGGACGTTTCTCAGAGCACCTCCTCTAGTCCAGTACCTCCTGCAGGTCTTGCAAAAGTGCCGAGGCTGCGAGAGGCTGTAGTTGTTGAAGTAGCAAAACTTTGTGTTAGTCGATTCGCATCTAGGGCATTTTAGGGCTGCCTCAGGCAAGGGTATGTTGGCCATCCGTGCTCGATCCGCCATGGAACCCGGCCTGATCGAGCCTGCGCCACCTGCCCCATGTGGCTGTGGAAACGGCGGCGGCGGTGGAAACTGAGGATTTGTGTTGCTACTTCCAGCTTGATGATTTTGTTGCTGTAAGAATAAAAATAAAATAAAAGAGAAAAGCAAAAAATGAGATATCTGGTATATTCAATTAGCTAGAAGAGATATAGAGCAAAGAGGTTCAAAATAAAGAAAAAGAGATGAAGAAAAAGGATAGGAATATTTATCTTTTGAAAATTGCTTTATTGGCAATTTAAAGAAGCTGCCATGGAAACAAATTAACATATATGGTTGAAAAAACCCTACCTGTGGCCAGTTGGATTGATCAAGATAAGCTGGGATGGAGGAAAAAACCATGGTTCTTAATCTTTCTCTCTTTTGTAAAGGTTGGTGGGTTTTTGAAGATGTAGTGGAGAATCACATCAACAAAAGGGTTTGCACAAGAGAGAGAGAGAGAGAGGAGAGAGAGAATTAAGAAGGTAAAATAAAGGAGGGGGCTTTATGTTATTTATAAGACTCCCTATTAGGTCCTTGTTTGTTTTCACTCTGTCTGGTTTTGTTTTTTATTGCTTTTTTAGGGTTTCGGGAGTGTGATGTTTCTTCGCCTTTAAGCTTCTATCTCATTGATGCTGTAGACTGTATATATATATATATATATATATATAGATTCATGTAGTGCATTGCTATGAAGAAAAGAGATTAGTGGTTCTTCTCTTGCATGAATAAAGTAGCTAGTTAGTGATTGTGTTTGTGATTGAGAGAGAGACTAGTAGTGGCTCACCTCTTGCATGAAAAGGCAAGTACCTAGTGATTGACTGACTGTGGTTGTGATTAAGATAGAGAGTACTTCCCACCAAATAATTTGGTTTACATGGGCATTAAGCAAACAAGTTAAACTGTAATTTTACAACTTTGGATATATATATATATTCAGCAAAGATCTCTTACGCACAAATTAGCAAAAAAGAAAATTTCACACAAAACACAGTGAATATGATTTATGTGTAAGAAAGGTAATTATCATAAAAACATAACAATAGTTAATATGATTTATGTGGATGAATTTGTTTTGTTTATTAATGAGTAAGATATCATTTATGTACATTTTATATACAAAAAAAAATGTTCACTTGAACTGTTATAACTTATAATATATGTAAATTTATATACACACACGTACACACACAGATATATATATATATATATATATATATATAATAATGGAATTTGTTACAAGACAAAGGTGAGATGGACATGGTGGTTTGATGGGGCAAAAGAGTCCAAGAGGTGTCCCGACCGAATGAACCTTTTACCCCCTCTGTTGTCTGTTCCTACTCGGACCCACTCCCACTTTCTCTTTTATAATACTCTGTATTTTGCATGGGAATATATATAGAGATTGCTGGTCCCACGCGTCCCTCAAAGCGCGTGATGTCACTCACATTCACTCCATTGATCTTTCACGGATCACGTTTTTTCTTAAAAGTCCTTAAAGAAATAAAATAGTTGCACCATCGAATTCTACAGATGCGTCAAAGGTAATTTTTAAAAGCCATGAAAGATTTGGGTTCTTTTTAGTTTATAATTTTAAGGAATAATAATAATTGTAATTAGTTATCTCTGTCAATAAATTATTTGGCATGGCCTCAAAAGTTGTAACTTTGTTTATTTATATTCAGACAGGAAAGCTAACATACTGCTTATATTCACACACCATGTTTCGTTAAAGAACGTACCTTGATATTCTCCATTAACTTCAAATCTGAAACCACAGAGAAAACACATTTTTTTTTATAATTTGGAGTGTACCCTCTTGTTTTGAATTTAGAGACATTTCTCTTTCAACCACTTGTATAACCTCCCAAATACTTGTACCTATTATAAGTAAGAGAATTCAGAGTTCAGTATAATATAGTACAATTTACTACTCACAAGTGTAATGATTTGGCCTTCCGTTGCAATAGATCTGCTATATTGCAGAGAATCCAAATTTCACTTTGTAACCACGTGTAGTGCAGTCACGATCACGATCACTTAATAACTCAATATATTTTTCTATAATTTTGAACAATTTTATACTTATTCACAGAAAAACTAATAAAAATATAATAAAAATTACAGATAATATGCTTTTCAAGCTCACGAACGGAGCCAAAACTACAAACAAACAACCTAAGCCTAAGATGATTCCATAAAATTTGTTATTTTTTCTCATTTTGGTTTATTAGAAGAGAAAATAAAAGAAAATATGGCATTAGTTATGAAAGAGAAAAAAACTATGGTGTTAACTTCTTCTTTTCATGTTAGTTGCTTATTATCATGTTTAAAAAATGATAGTGGATTGAAAAGAATATATTGTTTTATTTTTTCAGTAAGAAATTTTCTATAACAGATAACTAAAAATTCAATATTTGTACCGTTAAGCCACAAGCCTGTTGGTAACTCTCTTCTTTCCTTCCAAATCCTTAGGTTAGGCTATCCATCACTCATTTTCCTTCCCAATCCCATGTTTTTTTGTTTTCTCCAATTTCCTCAATCCAACTGAGGTATTAACCTGGCAATGAAACAAACTACAAGATCAAGAATCAAAGGAATTCACGTACTTTAAGAACAGTGACAAAAATGTAATTTTACTCTCTTCTCCTTTCCTTCCAAATTCCTTCCAACTCTCCCCTTTTAGGAGGAATAGCCAAAAACACTACTCAAAGAGAGACACTCCTTTTTTTCTTTTCCTTTTTCCAATTCCCTCAACCCAAACAAGGTGTGCTTGAACAATGGAGCACAAGCTTGCAAGATATCGCTCCTTTTCAGTTACTTGTTCATAACCAACTCAAAAATCATATCTTGATATCATCGTGATTCAGGGCGATGAAATGCTTTGTGACCACATTGTTGCAGTTCAATCTTCACAGAACCATGTAGCCTTTACACAGCTCAATCCGTCACTGAATAATATTCACATGATAGTACACAGACTAATAATCTACTTATCAACAGAGTGCAAAATATTTGCGGGGGTAAAATGAAGCCTTACAACATTATTTACACTGTTTAGACCTGAAATTTTCAGAATCAAGGAGTTTCGCTAAAAGTTTCTCAAGCCTTTTTGAACTTGCAGAGGGTTTAACTGCAACTGGATTCCCAAAAACTATACAAGGATCTTTACCTAGAGCAGAATTTCCCACACACCATCCACCAGGCGTAAATTGGCCAGATGGCTTCCTTAGGAGTTCCTCATCGATTTTGTCAAGAACTGGATCATCCTTGGCAAACTTACGGGCAAAAGGGGCACCAACCTCGACCATGTCATCAAAATACTCCAAGGTTAAAGTAATTGGATGCTGCTTTGGAGGATTATCCCATTTTATATAATGCAAGTCATGGTTTACTGTTGTGTTTTGGTAGTCTTTGTGATTGCAGACGACAGTGTGAAAATAGCCCTCGGGAGATGACATGAAGTTTGTGTAGTACATGAGGAGAGTGCGTGGGAGATTATCCCATCCCCAAACACAGAATTCAAGAAATGATCTTGTCAGCACCACCCATTCAGATCCTGGAGATAAAAATTTGGACTTTAAGATGGGAACCACATACTGGAAATAAATCCAATGCATTAACAGTTAAGAAGGAACCGTTTCATTGCATTATTGGAGTCAATGAAATAACACAATTCTCAATTATCTTCAGTTTGCATTTCTATGCTCTAAATCAAAGACAAACTCCGAGGAATCAAGAGTCTAGAGCACCATAAACACTATGCACTGTGTTAAACTTATTAAAGGTTGTAGCAATTGTAAACTATGCTACGGAATATGAATTATGTTATGAAAAGTTAACAGCCCATGAAGTATGATCACATTTCATTAGGTAATGCCATCGCATGAGAATTGTATTGTGAGTCTTTTAAAATGCAAAGGGGACTGAGTAAATATCATAATTAAAAGAATAATCATGGAAAAAAGTTGCATGACTTGCATAATGCAATCATCATGCATTGGTTTCTTTTTCTTTTCCCCCTTTTTTTTTAATTTTCTTCTTGTGCTTTTGTTTATTAAGATCTCTTTAAAAAGCTATGGTTAATTAGTTATAACTTTAAGAGTTATCAGAACCCTCTCAACATGTCTCTACATTATGATACAACATTTTAAACAGCATAATGTCACAGCTGCAAACAACTATGGATATGAAAATGCATTAGTAAGCAAAGTTGAAACCAAATGTGCCACTGAACATATTTTATATATGCTAAACCTATTCTTTCAATCCCTAACATGTGAAGAAATCATCTCCTGTTGGATTATTTCACAACCCCAACATCAAGGGTTCAAGGCTCGGTAAAGGAGGCGAAGGAAAATAAGATGTGAAGAAATCAGATATTGGAAATGGATATAATATTCCTGCAGATATAAACTACTGCTGCTATCCAAATCAACTTATACATCATATGAGATAAAAGATTTTGTAAAACAGGGTCTTCTGTGCTACTGGATGATTCTTACAAGAATGAATCGAATATTTTGGTTGAGAATCACTCGTATAATATAATAAACAAGCAATATAAAAAGAAAGTTGTTTTTCTTCATTTTGGTCAACATATTAGCAATCTGATACTGCAAAAGTACAAGTAGGAAGTTCACAAAATCGACCAATGGGCAATTAGCCCAGATGGTATTATCTCTCCTCCCTAAATGGAAGGTTGAGAGTTCGAGCCCTGCTAGGGGCAATATTGTGGGTGTGTGTGTGCCTGTGCTTGAACTTTCGGATATATATATTTATATACATTAAAAATTAAAAAAAGTTCACAAAATAATCTCTTTGGTATCCATTAACATATAAATCCATATGAATGAATCTTTTTCCAGCATTTTTCATACTAGGGTGAGAAAATAAACACAGATAAAGGGATGCTTCAATTACCAAAATAATAAATTTAAATAAAATAAAATAAAAAAAAATAAAAAAATAAAAAAAAATAAAAAGAGGAAAAGAAGAAGAACAACAAATAACTATATACATTGATGATATAAAGCAAAAGTTAAGGCAATACCAACAAATAACTTGAAAGAAGCAGGCACAGATCTCTTCTCTTTGGCCCAAAATACACCAGATTTCTTAGAATGGTACAAGCCTGGATCAATGATGATAGGCCTAGCTCTTTGAAACCTGCAAGCGTACAGTGAGAAAAATAAACAATAATGATGTTACCTCTACTGAGGAAATAAAGAAACTGAAAAAAAAACACATATGCTACTCTGTGAAGACAAGTTCAAATGCATGAAATACATGCTTACTCTTTCCAACCCATATTGCTTGTGTGCTCAAGAAAGTTCAGATCCCTAGGCAAGTACGAGAATATGTGCAGAAGATCTGTAACAAAATGAACAATATATACAGAAAGATCAATCAAGCCAATATGATACCCACTGTAAATATTTAATATTGTAATATAGTAAACATAAAACATAAAAATGCCAGAAGCCTCAATCATTTGCTTCTTTAAAAAGAAATAATTAGAGAAAGGGGTTCAAAATTCCAAAGAGATCACAAATAGAAAGACATGCTACAAGGGAATTCTTCAAATGTAATTTGGTATAGGATCCTACCAATCAGGAAAAACCTGATTTCCATTTTCAAAGAAGATAAAAGCTAGAAAAAGTATACAACAGCTCGGTGTTGCAAGGATAATATAAGAGAATTTCTTAGATGTGCATTCCTTCGGTGAAAGCAAAAAAAAAAAAAAAAAAGGACGGCAAGAACGTTCACGGTAGAAAAACGATCATTTTCTGCCAGGCAAGACAAGATAAAAAAACAAAATGGTTCTCATAACGCTCTCTGCAAACAGACCCGGTTCCTATTTACCCTAGATGATCCATAAAGCAACCATCAACATGTAATCTCATTTCTCTGTGGGACTCCAGCCAGGTGAGTCATATCTCTGCATGTAACAGGAAAATAACAGTCTGGCCTATAACATTATCAAACTAAGACAATATGCATTAAAACTTAGAAGTGACAAAAGAAAAAATATGTTGACTTCCTTTCCTCAAACAAGATAACAAAATAGTTCCTTTCATGCTCTTGGCAAACAGCCTCAGTTCTAATTGTCCTAGATAATCCACATAGCAACTACAGAAATATTCACTGGCCCATGGGACTCCGCCCATGATGAGTCACATCTCTATGGTATAAGAAAAATAACATTCCGGACCTCCCAATATCAGATAAGGGGGTATACATTAAAATTTGGAAGTCGTGAATGGTTAAACGGAATAAATTAGCTAGCCTTATTAAATTGAGTCGATTAAACCCCCACCCAAAAACACACACACACACACACAAAATAAAACAATAATAGCAAAAGTCGTAGTATTTGGTTATAAAAAGGAAAAGAAGATACTGAGATTAGTAGAACCATCTTCAACTTATAGCCCCTATTCGTCATGGTAATTTTTTTTAAACTATTTCACAAGATTCTGTCTAGTAATTAATAAAGAAATGGATATTAGCGAGGAATTTTTTGCGACAACTACAACAATATCATGATCCACTGCCTCTTCCCCTAGGTACAAACCTACAGTGTGCCAAGTGGGGGGCGTCCACCCCCACAGAATTATTTTTTTTTATATTCGTACCTATAGTTTTGTTAAAATCCTAAAAATGTCCCCGCTGGATTATGACAAAACTACTCTATATATACCTAGCCACACTGGATTTTTGGGGCCCTAATAAACTTTCTCTAACCTCTCGTTTTCTTGCTCTCGCCCTCATCCATTGTGTCCTCTCTCACACAAAGTTGTGAACATTGACAAATTCTACCAAGAACCACGGTTTTCATAGTCTTTACCTTCATTTCGGCTCTCAAATATTATCTCTATATATATTTGCGCTTATATATGATAACTTTGATAATAATGAAATTCATTTATCTGCTTTTTATAGTTCAGAATTTTGCAATCAAGTTGCATTTAAATCTAATCAAGTTGCAGCTAAATTTTGCACTCAAGCTGAATTTTACTCAACAAAATATTAATTAATATTAAATAGTTTTTTATGTTAGTTTGAAATAATAATAATAATAATAATATTGTTGTTCAATGCCACCCCCTCTCAGATAATTTTACACCCCTGGCAAACTACAATATTTTTTTAGATAAGTAAACTAATCTAGAATATTTTGTTTCACGAGTCATGACCAATTAAAAAATGTAAATTAGCAACGAATATCTACTGCAACTACAACAACATCATGAACCCCCCCCCCCCCCCCCTCTTTTTCTCCCTAACTGCCCCCCGCCCCCCCTCCCCAAAAAAAAAAAAAAAACCCACCCACCCCAAGCACTATGTGCACTATCTTGCTTACCTGCTCATTGAGCATATTTTGCTTCATCTGTTGACCAATTAATAAATGGATATGGGCAAAGAACATCTACGGCAACTACATTGATATCGCGATACACTGTTGCTTCCTCCCAGCACTATGTGTTGGTATTCTTTCCTGCCAACTACTAGAGCCCATTTTCCGCCACTTCTTTGAGTGGTTTCCCTTTTTAGGTAATTACCATGGCCTCCGTTGAAAATCCCTCTTCCATGAACCGTATTAGTTCAACCTATCTCGCGTGTTTGTAGCATATCCAAGTGAAAACTAATAATAAAGTCACCTAGTTACCGATCCTTCCAGCTAAATTCAACAATGTTTAGCCAAATTGGCTTTTATCACAATCCACTATCTCACCAGACTTCAAATACACAAATTCCCAACTCCTACAACAGTATTCCCCAATTCCTACCGCAGTATTCCCCACATCGGCAGACTGTAAAAATCAGACCACAAAAGCTCACATTTTCTAATATAAATAGAACAAAATGCAGAATAACATATTGAATGAACATATCACAGAAGCAAGTACAAATCATATAAATGCTGTTTATGACTAGATCTCCATTCAATAGCAAGTCCAAATCATATCAAACACATTTAAAAAAGAACTAACCATCTTGCGGCACAAGGGGATAATCCGAAGCACTGAGATTTATAAACCAATCCCACTCCTTCGCCTGCTTCAACAATATTGCGATCGCATGAAGCGTACTTGCAGTCATCGTCGGCCCCTTATACGTCACCAGATCTGCCTTACCAACCACCATTACATTCTTGAAATCCCTAGTGACCGCCTCCGATTTCACAAACTTAGCAAGCTCAAGTCTCTCAACGTCCAATGCTTCAAGATCAAGATGCAACAAGTAGTAGTTCCTCGGGTGATACACCGCCTGAAGCAGTCGCTGCAAACGCGGTCCATCTCCCTTCGTCCCCGATAACAAGTACGCGAACCTCGGCAACTCCGGCAGACCCAACCGATCACTTCCGGTACCGGAATTCGATGCCGAACCTGTTGATCTCGAATGAATTGAAGAAGAAGAACTCGAATTAGGTTCGGATGATAATTTGTATTGGCCTAGGGTTACTGTGAGAAGAAGTACGATACAGAGTGTGGAAGCTAAAATCAAAGGCATTAGCCATTTTCGATCGAAACAAACCAAAATGTGGGTTCGTTTCATTGTGAGTTAGGGTTTTGGATCAGAACGAGTGGATTAATCTAAAACCCTAAGAAAATTTATCAGATCAGATGATTATTGTTACAGAAAATGGAAGATCAGTTGGGATGGGAGAGGAGAGAGAGATTGGAAATTTGGGGGGACATTGAAATTTTTTAGGGGTTTTTCGCTAGATTTGGTGGGGTTGGTTGGTTCTACGCTTTTAGCTCAAATTAGTAGCTTAACTTGAACTTGAAGCTATTCTTTTTACAGGTTTGTTTTGAAAAGAGATTTGGGTTTAGAGGGAAATTGGGAGTGTATAAATGTTTGTTTTCCAGTTATCTCCCCCAATTTTTTAGCAAATGACTGATGGACCCTCTAATTTCTGAAATAGGCGAGGACTATCTATCCTCTCCAATCACCGACAATAATGAACCAGATCGAAGGGTTTTTTGTAGTCACCGACAACCTTGAGTCCTCAAGGTGTAAAAGGGCAAGAAGGTAATTTCCACATCTGAACCTGAAAATCATATGCGACCCGCATAAGTTAATTGAAATTATTTTTTCCTTGTTTTTTTGTAAGTTAGTAAAGCATAAACTAATTTTGTCTCACTAAAATTTGAGGTATCAACCTTACTCGTTAAAAAGGTGAATGTTACACCACTCAAATCAAGGGTCATTTAATTGTAACAGATGTAGACATACCAAAAGATCGGATAAGGGTTAAAATGAAATTCAAAAATCATTTCCGTGTTTGTTTTTGTTTTATTTAACTTGTTTCTTGTCTCAAGTCATTTTGTCCTTCAATATAACAATTCATAATACTCCCGTAATAACTTTACATTATTTATATAATAATTATATTATATTAACATGATGTTGTATTTTGTCACGAATTTGTTACAGCGTGTTGCACTAGTGATAAAGAATACAGCAATGAAGGGTGCTCCCACCACCGGATGCCCCCTCCACCGGACAGATCCGGATTGGAGCTAAACATATGGTGCATGACGTTAAATAATGATCTCTGTTTGGTACCTGACTCGACATTCTATTGTTTTGGTAAAAGGGTACATGGCCCAACAATTCACTAGCTTCTAAGCTAAAAAACAAACAGAACACTCATCAAACCACTAAGAAACTTAACACTCAAGAGACACAACAATACCATCAACCACCAAAATCTGGCATCCTCGAAAGCTCCGGTGGTGGATCCGGCAAGGACACCACCACATGCTGCTGCAGAGCCGTAGTCTTAGCCCGACAAAGCGGGCAACTTGGGTGCGAAAAGAGCCACATTTCAACACACAGCGCATGAAATTGGTGGGCGCATTCTGGCAGCACGCGCACCTCCTCGCCTTCCGTGAACTCACTCAAGCACACCGCACATGTGCTGCTCTCTCTACACTCTTTGCTATATCTATACACTGTGATTAGGTTCACAGTTGATGAACTGTTTGTGCTAGTACTGCTACTAGGAGCCTCTACTCGACGATTAATTCTAGCAATTTGGGGTTGGTTTGTTGAATTTGATGATTGTCTTAGTCTGCACCAACTCATAGTGACGCAATGTAGTGTTGCGACTATGATGGCACCGGCGAGAATCCCGACGAGGCCGATAAATAGGGGGCTAATTTCGGGTCCCCGGTGATGATCATCGTCTTCCATGAGAGAGAGAATCTGGGGCTTTGGGTGTGTGAACAAGTTATATATTATATTGTCCCCGTTGATTGCAAGGTGGGGTGACAATTCTTTGTATTTGGGGTGTTAGCCTATTTATATGTATATATACACAAATACAAAGATGTGACACAAAAATCTCTTTATTCTATTTCCATACATATTAACTTATAATGTGTGTATACCGTATACACACGCAAAAAAAAAGATACGTGACAGAAGCTCCTCATAATTCTATATATAAATAATATATAATATCTGCTTGGCTTTGTCTTTATTGATTTAACGTGGATCATACGTTTTTAGTTACATGAAATATAATAATCAATGTATATAAACAGAAGTTTGGAGTCAAATTAACACTGATATGGTTTTACTGAAAAATTGAAAGTTGCCTTCAAACTGCTATATATTAGGCTGAACATTTGCGGCGGCACGACATTAAATGGTACGGTTTTCATGAAAATCCAAATGGCCATTTTACACATGAGAATGCTAAGCATGATTAATATGTGTCTCACAGAGTCACACACATATATATAATATATACATATGTTTGGGGCATGTAATTTTGAAAAATTTAACAATAACAATAAAATAAGTTTTGCTTTTTCATTGAGGACCAAGAAATCTTAACAATTTTAACGAGACCATTAACTCCTACTTTTTTATTCATCTTTTCATATTAGTTTTAAATCTCTCAAACCTCCAATTTTATTCTTTGTACTTAATTTGTATATATATGTTTTCAATTTATTAAGTATTTATACTCAATTTTTATGTTCTCAAAAAGTTAGAATTTATTCTTTAAAATAGTAATGTTATTTTTATTGAAAAACATATGAATAATTTTCATATATTTTTTAAAAATAGAGTAATTATTTAACACTTAAAATTAGTAAAATTAACAAAATTTAAAATTCCAATTGCAAAAAAAATATTAAACATATATGTTTGAATAGCTAAATAAAGTAGTACGTAGTTGTTGTTTTTTTTTTTAAGGAAAAAAAAAAAAGTTAGATTTCGGGAAAAAGAATTATATTTATAAAATTTTAGTTCTAACTTAAAAATGGGATACATGGAAGATTAAAATATTTAAAATTTAAGTTAAAAAAAAGTTGCAAGAGTAAAATATATTGTCATATTGAAACTTTATAAGACTTATTTATCTTTAAAAGGAAAAAGTAAAATTTAGCAGTAGTCTTTTTTGTATAATTTTTAGTCTAATGGTTGGTATTTTGTCCCATTACGGGGAGCAAGTGTGCAAAACGTACATATAAAAATAATTAAATTACATATAATGAATAATGTAAATAATATTCTAGATTAAATAAGCCTTAAAATCAAACATTCAATTGTTTTGTTCCACAAAATAATAGTTTGCTTAATTGGGCGACAAAAAATCCTTTTATAATACATTTATAAGTCAGTGATGTACGTATATATAATAATATCAATTTGAATGGATATCTCTATATATAATAAAATGTTGTCATATGGAGTCACTTGCAATCTATTATCGAGTTCAAGATAAGTTTTTCTTGAAGTTAAATCATCACAGTTTTTTCACAAAAATGAAATATATAATTTAAAATGTTAGATCACATCTATATATATGTATTGAATACTTTCACCTCCTTTTCAAAGGAAAATTTGAGGTTCAAGTCTCCATAAATATATATTCTATATAACATAAAACCATTTCCATGTCACATTAATTAGACATCAAATGTTTCATTTTGCTAATTCAGGCCATAAAATCTGAAAAGGGGCCCAATGCGCAACAGCAACCATTGGGTTGACCAATCCAAATTGAGTTGGGTCAAGGTGATGTGGCCCGAGTTCAGCCCATGTGTAAATCTACAATGGATCCATTTTCTCATCCAAACAAAACTAGTCAAAAAGTCCCATATAGGTCCAATTAGCCGGCCATGTGGGCCCCACTTCTACACGGTCCGTGTACGAATCTGAATCAAGAAACTACTAGGTAATCATCAGAGAAAGAAAATGAGAGGCATTCCTTAATTCCATTTAGATATTTTATTTTATTTTATTACTTAAAAAAACAAAACAAATGTCACTTTAATTTGTTATTTCACTGAAATTAACTCCTCCCACTTTTCCTTGATTACAAAAGTGAAAACATACAAACAATGCCCAACTAATGGTTTGATGAGCCCAAATCTCATCTTTTTTACAACACCATGTAGGGTTTTTCAATACAATTAAATTTATTTTTAATACATTAAATATAATCTATCTATTTCAATTATATTTAATGTGTTAAAAATTAAAATTAATGTGTTGGAAAAATATTTGCTGAAAAACAAATTTAATGTACTGACAAATTACAGCACCACTATAACATAGAATCCGTGTGCATAATTTGATACTCAATTAATTACAGAATCATTTCAAAAGTTTAATCATATGTTATATTGAGTCGTCACCCCTTTCAATATCTAAACACACTTCCATATATATATATATATATATATATATATATTAATAATGTTGAGACATGCTTTGATGTTATAAATAAATTGAGAGTTTTGACTTATCATTATTCTAACATGTTTGCTCATTATTTAAAATTCAAGTCACACGTGTATAATCTTATATAAACTTGAATGAATATTATTTTTTCATTAGATGTATTATTATCAAAATTAAATTTGATTATCAATAAATGAGTTTGTAATAAAATTTTGTTTTTATTTTTTATTATCGATTCATGTGACAATTATTAAAATAATAAACGACCTTGAATACAAATACAGTATTTCCAGGACCATTGACCACAAAAAGCAGAAAAGCCCACAAGTGCACCCCACCGTCACCGTTAGAAACGGCGATGACCGTGTTAGAGTACAGGCTTTTTATTTAGCTCAGTAATCAACTCTAAATACAATACGGTTACTTAAACCGAACACAAAATCGCGTGTGTTTCTCTCTCTACATCACTCACTTTCTCTCTCTATATGTCTCCTTTCACAGAAACTACTGAGAAGATAGTGAGCGACAGTCGTGAATGGTGTTAAAGATGAGGATAGTCAAGACCATCGATTCTTCACGAAGTGGCGGTCTCTGTGGATTCCTGGTAGTCGAAGCTTATCCCAAAAGGTATTCCTCAAAGATCCCCTCAGATTTGGTTCTTTTTTTGGGCCTTGGCTTCATCGATTGGTAATATATTTCGTTATCTATAGATACAAGATTTTCTGTTCCTCTGTGTTAGAACTTAGAAAACTACTACTACAACATGGATTTGATGGGTTGGATTCAATTTTTATATAATTCTTGAGTTAGGATTAGAAGATTGATGGGTTGGGATATAAACATATATATACACACACAGGGATTAGGAGTTATGCTCTTTTAGTGTATCATGCTCTGTTCTTAATATTCTCTCTAAAAATCCTTTTCTTTTTTCTTTTTTCTTTTTTTTTTGAAACTTTTTTCTATTAGTTAGGCGTTTATGAATCAAGTCCCATTTTGTTCTTTTCATAGCCAATCCAATTGTTGAATTTTCTTTCTTAAACTAGGGTTTTCAAAATTCTGTACTTTTTTGCCTGTCTAATTGTGTGAGTTGTAGGGGAATATTTACCAAAAGGTAGTGTTGTGGGAAAATAGTTTTGTGATTGGGAAATCTAGGTCTTTGATAGAGATGGGGTGTTGTGTTGGAGATTGATGTAATGGTGGTGGTGTTCATGAGGTGGTTGTTCTGTTGAAATTTTTTTTGGGGATGAAAATTCCAATCCCACCTTGCCAAATTGACCCTAAGGCCAAGGGGAAGGTGCTTTGAAATTAGAGATTCTTTTCTTGCCATTTTCAATGGAGAATCATCACCCATCTACCCTCTTGTCCATGGATTCAAGTGCCTCATCGTCGCACGATGAACTGGACCTCGAGATGAACCGCCAAATTGTTCTTACTCGACCGCCTGATATAAATTTGCCCCTGTCAGCGGAGCGTAGTCCGCCTCCACAGACATGGAATTCGGACCCATGTGATATTCTTGACGTTGGGCTTGGTCCCCAAATGTACGAGACAGAGAGTTTTCTCAATGTGCCCAAAGTTGGTCGGAAATGCGCGAAAAGGGTTGATAGCATCTGGGGTGCCTGGTTTTTCTTTAGTTTCTACTTCAAGCCTGTTTTGAATGAAAAATCGAAGACAAAGATTATACGGGATAGTAATGGAATTTCTGGTTTTGATAAATCTGACCTTCAGCTTGATGTTTTCATGGTTCAGCATGATATGGAGAACATGTACATGTGGGTTTTCAAGGAAAGACCTGAGAATGCACTGGGTAAGATGCAGCTAAGAAGTTATATGAATGGGCATTCTCGTCAAGGAGAGCGTCCCTTTCCGTATAGTGTTGATAAGGGTTTTGTTCGATCTCACAGGATGCAACGAAAGCACTATAGGGGCCTCTCGAATCCCCAGTGTGTTCATGGAATCGAACTTGTTCCATCACCCAATCTCATGTGTCTTGATGAAGATGATCGGCGAAGGTGGTTGGAACTCACTGGAAGGGATTTGAACTTCTCAATCCCCATTGAAGCTAGTGATTTTAGTTCATGGAGAAATCTCCCAAACACCGATTTTGAGCTTGAGAGGCCACCAGCAGTGCCAATAGACAGCAATCCGAATTCCCACTCCAAGAAACTGCTCAATGGATCTGGGCTGAATTTGTCCACTCAGCCATCTAATATCAACAATGGTGACTCGATGGACCTATCACCTGTTTCTAGCAAGAGGAGGAAGGACTTTTTCCCACACGGGAACGATGATGAATGTTATTTGACCGTTAATCCTCCTGATCGTGTTCCAGATTTGGAAATTCACCCAAATGAGCCACATTGGTTAAATGACTTTAGTGGGGTAATGAGGAGTGCTTATGGGCCTGTTACAGCTGCAAAAACAATTTATGAAGATGAAGAAGGCTATTTGATCGTCGTCAGCTTGCCCTTTGTGGATCTTCAGAGGGTGAAAGTTTCTTGGCGGAACACTATTACTCATGGGATTATCAAGATATCTTGTTTGAGCACATCTCGAATGCCATTCATCAAGAGACATGACAGGACTTTCAAGCTTTCAGATCTATCTTCAGAGCACTGTCCTCCAGGGGAATTTGTTAGAGAGATCCCGCTTTCAACTCGAATTCCGGAAGATGCTAATATAGAAGCATATTATGATGGACCTGGAACTGTCCTTGAGATCATGGTGCCGAAACTCCGTGTGGGGCCAGAAGAACATGAGGTTCGTGTTTGCCTTCGCCCTCACCTTGGGGGCAATGATCTTATGTTGACCTGAGAACAGAATACTCTTTGAGGAATGTAAGGGTGGTTCCACTAGGTGGTGCTTCATTGCTTGCTAACTTTGTTTAATACTGTGTATTTTATGGAACAAAATAGGCTGTCTTACATTTCTCATTCTCAGTTTTAGCTCACTAATTGCTATGGTTTTTTTCCCCATGCATCTGGCTAGCTTTTTATTGTACTCTCTTCTGATATTTGAACTTGTATTTGCATCACTCATTCAAGCAAAGCCCGTGTTATATAATTTTATCGTCTGCACTCTTCTGAGGAAGAGAACTTTCTTGATTAGTTATTCTTATTATATACACTAGGGAGTAAGTTTTGTGTTTGTTGACATCATGTTTGACCTTGTGGATTATGAGCACCCACTATACACAATCTTCTTGCATTATTGAAATCATGTCTGCCTTGCAGGTTTCAGCCTGTCCAGACACAGTACTCCCAACCATAACAAAAAAAATTATAACTTCCCATTTTCTCACTTTGTTTCTTTTTTTCTTGAATTTCTTTTCAGAATATCTTTAAACTAATTTCATGTTTTGCCCCAACCATTTGCGCTGTTCTTCCACACTGGTTTTTTACTTGAACTAATTCCCAAAACTTGAATCTGTCTCTTGGAACTGCCCTCATCCACGCACACGCACCACAAACAAACACACACACACACACAAATGCCATATGTAATGCTCTGGTGTGACAATGTTTTCATTTGATTAGTGAAGATGTTCTTCCAACTCCACCTATCTATAATCCATGTAAACTGATTATAAGTGCACCTGGACTTGGTCATAGGTGAGTAATGTGGGAAAGATAATTTCTAGGAATATTATTACATCCTTCACTTGAGTAGAGATAAGAGAAAGCTACTTCTCAGGAAGGCTAGGAGCAGCTTTTGTTTTCCGCCACATGGTTTTAGGAAAAGAATAGAGAGCAGGTGACAAGGTTGATGTGTTCCTAAACAAGATAAGTCATGTCTGGATATGATCTTGTTCTTTTATTTGAGGAACCAATTAATTTTTTTCTAGTGCTTATCTAGTTTGCAACGGACCACATGTCCACATCATTACAACCAATGATGGTGTGACACTGTGGAACATTGAGGGTTCTTTTGGTAGGGGGATGAGTTGTTGAGATTTGGATGTTATTACTTTGAATGAGAAGATTTCCAAGCATTTGATGAGTTGAAATGGAGAAGTGACTCAAAAGTGTATTACCTTTTGCATAAAATTGCAGGTGGATGTGGTGATAGAAACCCTAGTGGTAGATGGTCAAGGTTGGCACTCTATTAGCGATATATATCATAGTCTGGAACAACAAAAACCAAATTTCTTCTTCTTCTTCTTTTTAAATTTTTTTTTTTTTTTGAATCATTTTGGTAGTTTCTTTTCTGCATATGATGTGGTTCACCATGTAACTCACGAGTGGTGAAGGTTGGGTAACCACTAGTCTTAGTTGAGGTGGATTGTGGTTCAATTATTGAGGCTTTTGTTAATGGTGGGGGTGTTGATGTCTACTAAATCATTAGTGATGTTGAATGTACAGACTCTTATATTCCATAATCCTCACTCTACCTATGACTCTTGACCCATAGTTTTCTTTCTTTTTAGCCCTTCATTTGAGATTTGGCCTTGTGGTTACCTCACAGTTTGTGGGGTTAGGGGTGGGAGGACATTAGCATTAACAAAATGTAAATGTCTGGTACAAGCAAGATTCTCATTAAGAGAAACTGAGCAAAGAACATACAAATGAACTTTTGGGTGCCAAAGAAGTTTGTATTAATCCAAGAGGCAAATCATATGTCAAAATGACCATTAGTTCATTAACTCAGCTGGTATAATCTCCCCTTCCCCAGAGTGAGTTGAGGGATTCGAAGTTACTTTGAACCTCATACTATACTCTGTCAAAGATGACTTCTTTCACATTTTGTTACTTGCCACTTAGTTTGCTGAGTTTGAGACAACCACTGGTGTGAAGCCTAGAAGTTAAGAGTAAAGATTTGATTATTTACCCCCTTAAAAAGGGAAACAGCCAGGAGGTCGAGAGTAGCTCTATTTTGACTGGGTTCGAAATGAAAAACAATCGGTCTTTGTGTATAACCTTTTATCCTCTGTAGAAAGGCTTGTGGATGGATACATAGCTTGAAAGATGTATTGATGCCTGATGGGAAGGTTCAGCATGAGAACTTAGAGAAGCCTAAATTCGTATGTTCTCTTTCAAAAAATACTGGAACTGGTTCCTTCTTTACATTTGAGCAAGTTTAGTAAGATGTATTATCCACGATGACACGACTTCTTTGGCATTGTTTGATGGGTTTGAAAGATTCTTTCTCCGTGCCATTGTGACACTAACAAAAAATGAATTCCAAATTTTCTAGTCAAAATGTTCATTTGAAAACCCCACGATGGAGGTCCTACGATGCCTTCTCTTTGTTATGGCTTAAGAGATTGTCAAAATCATTAGTATCAGACCCGAAATTTATATTAGCATCCCAATAATAAATACACATAAATAAGTGAAATGTTATATTCCTACGCTGAAACAAATTTTTGGTATAAGGAATACAACTCAAGGGTGTTAAAAAGCACTATCAAGTATCGAATCATGTTAAAAGCACCGAGTACTTGCTCAGTTTCGTTCCAAAATAAGTGTCATATTTTTTTATTTTATTTTTTTTCTTCCACTTTTTTTTTTCTCTTTTCATTTAAGTTTTAAATTTCAAAATTTAAAACTTAAAAAGAACACGTTAAAATTTCAAAAAAGGCAAGTTTGTCTGAAAAATTATTACTCCCCGTAAGTTTCCCACAATGCAGTCACAAGAGTCCAAAAACCTTTTAAAGTTTTTAAAAAGCACCAACTAGCTCCCCCCTCGACCAGCTGCGTCAATAAGGGTTCATATGGTGATGTGATTTAGCGAGGATAACAATCATATTACTCTTCAGTAATAATAATTGAGTGAGTTCAACTCCAAAAGAAAACCCATAGCCCAAAAAGTAGCCAAAAAAGCAGATTCCATCGGGAAAACAATACAAACTGTATCTAAGTTTTTAAGTAAAAATGACCGACCATGTTGCATGATGCATAATATTGAAAGGATAGCAATGCGAAAGTGTTTCCACTGAGTGGAGAAATTACCTTCAAACTCATAAGAACTAAAAATTGAAAAAAGTGCAAGAAACTAAATCAAACATAGAGATCAATAGGCGACCACGGGGTTAAAAAAACAAAACCAGGACCTTAGTCCACTTCCTCAATCTTAGGACCAGGGCCAGCGCTACCACTTCCACCAGCAGGAGGAGAATCATCGTCCATTGCACCACCCATGTCACCACCAGCACCTTGATACATCTTTGCTATGATGGGGTTGCAGATGCTCTCCAACTCCTTCATCTTGTCCTCAAACTCATCTGCCTCTGCAAGCTGGTTGGCATCCAGCCACTGGATGGCCTCCTCAATAGCATCCTCAATCTTTTTCTTGTCAGCTGGAGGAAGCTTAGCGCCAATCTTCTCGTCCTTCACGGTATTCCTCATGTTGTAAGAGTAGTTCTCCAAAGCATTCTTTGCTTCAACCTTCTTTTTGTGCTCTTCATCCTCAGACTTGTACTTCTCCGCCTCTTGCACCATCTTCTCAATCTCTTCCTTTGAGAGTCTTCCCTTGTCGTTTGTGATTGTGATTTTGTTCTTCTGCCCAGTGGTCTTGTCCTCAGCAGAGACATTAAGGATACCATTTGCGTCAATGTCAAAACATACTGTGATCTGAGGCACACCTCTGGGTGCTGGGGGAATGCCAGAAAGCTCAAACTTGCCTAGCAAGTTATTGTCTCTGGTCCTTGTTCTTTCACCTTCATACACCTGAATCAACACACCAGGCTGGTTGTCAGAGTAGGTAGAGAAGACCTGCTCTTTCTTTGTGGGGATAGTGGTGTTCCTGGGAATCAATACGGTCATAACACCACCAGCAGTTTCCAAACCGAGGGAGAGAGGGGTAACATCCAAGAGCAAGAGGTCCTGCACCTTCTCGTTACCCTCACCACTCAAGATTGCAGCCTGGACAGCCGCCCCATACGCAACAGCCTCATCAGGGTTGATGCTCTTACAGAGCTCCTTCCCATTAAAGAAATCTTGCAAAAGTTGCTGAACCTTGGGAATTCTAGTAGATCCACCAACAAGGACAACATCATGGACAGTGCTCTTGTCCATCTTAGCATCCCTCAAACATTTCTCAACTGGTTCCATACACTTCCTGAAGAGATCCATGTTGAGCTCCTCAAATCTAGCACGGGTAATGGTGGAATAAAAATCAATACCCTCGTACAAAGAATCAATCTCAATAGTGGTTTGGGCAGTGGATGAGAGAGTCCTCTTCGCCCTCTCACAAGAAGTTCTCAACCTCCTGAGAGCTCTGGGGTTACCAGTGATATCTTTCTTGTGCTTCCTCTTGAACTCCTGAACAAAGTGGTTCACCATTCTATTGTCAAAATCTTCACCTCCAAGATGGGTGTCTCCAGCAGTAGCCTTCACCTCAAAAATACCCTCTTCAATGGTAAGAAGGGAGACATCAAAAGTACCACCACCAAGATCGAAGATCAAGACATTCTTCTCACCAACACTTGTTGCCTTCTTGTCAAGACCATAAGCAATGGCAGCTGCAGTGGGTTCGTTGATGATACGCAACACATTGATGCCAGCAATGACACCAGCATCCTTAGTTGCCTGACGTTGAGAGTCATTAAAGTAGGCAGGGACAGTAACCACTGCATTCTTCACAGTGGAACCAAGATAGGCCTCGGCAATCTCACGCATCTTGATGAGGACCATGGAGGAGATCTCCTCAGCTGCGAATTGCTTCTCTTCAGCTTTGTAGTTCACGATAATCATAGGCTTGTCACCAGGTCCAGGAATGACCTTAAAAGGCCACAACTTAATATCACTCTGCACAGAGGCATCAGAGAACCTCCTTCCAATCAACCGCTTAGCATCTGCAGAGAACCACAATCAGTAATTTACCAGCCAAAAACTATAGAAGGTAAAAAGCACTAACTAGAAAAAATATGCCACTTTTGGATCAATGAGCAACAAAGCAAACCAGTAGCTTAGATTGACAAAAGCCTGTATTAAATCAGTATGCAATCCTCCATTCAACTAATACGAATCGATTATAAAGCCATTACAGAAACAATATGACGCCAAAAGAGAATAAAACAAATGTATAGCACTAAAGACAACTGATCCCACTAGGGAAGACAGATGCATGTACGAGGATGTTTAGGAATTGCCAACTCAGGGTTTAGAACATATTGTAATTGACACATCCAAAAAGAAGAGTTTATAATGATTAAAATAAAAAAGATACTAGTTCTGTTCATTGTTTTGCAAAGGGTCTTCAAATGAAAATTTAATTAGAAATAATTGCTTTTCAAATTTTAACTTGTGCACAAATACAGCGGGACCTTTCTAAATGCATCAAAAATACTAATACATTAAAATTGCATAGGCATATATTGGAGGAGTTAATAATTGCAGCTAAACTTAATTAAACTCTTTTTTGCAAAAAGGGTATTTGAAATAGTAAGTCCAACTAAAAGAACTAAAACTGCCCAAATAAATAACCAAAAGACATTAACAATTATGCCAACAAAGCAACATATATTAATTGGGGCAATTACTTAGAAATACATTTTGTGCAACAGCCCTTCCTATCTGATAGAAAAGGATCCCATGAAAGGTCCATACAGAAGTAATAGATCAAATCCGTACAACGAACTGAAAAAGAACAGCTGCCAATATAGATCTAGGAAGCTAGCAGTTGTAATATAGATCAGGCTACTAAAACTTCAAAAACAAAATTTTTTATTCAGTAATAATAATAAATAAAATAAAATAAATCATTATCAATCGATCTATGAATCCAATCAAAAGTGAAAACATGACAATAGGACCAAATCCAATTTTTAATTCAGATCTGACACAGCAGTGGACAAAACCAATCAACATAATCATGGATCTGTAACCATACAACATCTCGAGCAAATCTAGAGCTGCAATGTAGATCCAATAATATAAGTACACGATATAGTAATATACACACGAGCATGATTATACACATACATATACAAGTAACATACACGTACATGTACACCAGAATATGCACAAGTTCTGTATAATTATGTATACATGTACAAGTAATACACATATAGACGAGCATAAATCGTAAGCATACGATCAAATAACGTTCTATATACGTACGGATACATATATACAAGTAATACACACACATGAATGGGAATAAATCGTAAGCATACTAGTCAAATAACGTAGATCCAGTTACATATAATACAGATCTACACATATATGTAATCATATAACTATACACACATGGTACATGTACATAGATCGGAAACAAGTGCGAGAGAAAGTAGATCTTACCGAAGACGGTGTTAATCGGGTTCATCGCGACCTGGTTCTTAGCAGCATCGCCGATCAAACGCTCGGTATCAGTGAAGGCAACATAGGACGGCGTCGTTCTGTTTCCTTGGTCGTTGGCGATGATCTCAACACGGTCGTGTTGCCAAACTCCGACGCACGAGTAGGTCGTGCCAAGATCGATTCCGATCGCAGGTCCCTCTCCTTTTCCTGCCATAGTTCCTCTCTCTTCTTGTTTGAAGAATAGAGACTAGAGAAAGAAAAAGAGAGTGAGTTGAGCAAACTAGAGAGAAAGTAGAGCAAAACTAGGGTTTCCAGATAGATTGTTGTGCGGGGAGGCGAGTCGATTTATAGCAGCTTGGCTTTTGTGTTCCAGAATGTTCGAAAGCCGGAGAGATTTCAACCGTACGATCTTCTAACAATGCTTAAGATCGTTACCATTTTTTTTTTTTTTTTTTTTTTTCCCTGGAAAATACCTTCGCAATTTGTATATTGATTTATTTACAAATACCTTACCAGCGAAGCGAAGGACTAAAAGGGTAAGAAAATGAGGTGTTTTTCCAAGAACCATCTAAATTAATTTTATATAGCCATATTCTTAAAATAATATATTTGTTAAAAAGTTGTCAACAAAAGAAAATTTTGTACTCGCATAATATATCAAAGGAAGAATAATTTTTTATATTAAATTTTAGAGATAACTTTACTATACTTTGGGAGGATTGGTCAAATATCAATTTTAAACATCTTTCAAAAATAATTACTTCAAGTTTATTTTTATTTTTTCGTTACATCTAATTAAAAAATGAGAAAAGACATATTTATCCATAATTTTTTAATTTAGTTTGTTTCAAAATATTAAATAATATAAATGACTTCTATATCCTTACACACACAATTTCTCTCCCCTCTCTCCCTATTTGAAGGGACATTCTCTCTCCTCAAGGCACGCGTCTGTCTGTCTCTTTTCTTCTTCTCAAATTACTCTCTCACTCTTAACACTATCAGTCTCCTCTCCTACACCCAAAACTCACTTTTCCGGCAACCTCTATATATATATATATATATATATATATATATAAATCTAATCTCCAACAATACCAAAACCCATTATAACCCATCTTCTCCTCTTTATGGTTTGAATTTGATGGTGACCAAGCTTCTGGTTCTACTTTTTTATTTTTTATTTATTTTATTTATTTTATTTTATTTTGAAGATCATGAGGAAAATTCAAAAGGTTTCTCTTGTTTGAAGGGCATTGCCATTGGAGTTTTAGAATTGCAGTGATTGAATAGAACTTCCATTGTTAAATCTTTTTTTTTTTTTTCTTATTATTATTATTTAAATCTCCATTCACACAACAATACTATAAAATGTATACCAATAAAATATTTAATCCAAACTATATATATACACACACCAGAAAAGGAATAAGAACAAATTTTGGGAAAGAATCATACAAAACAAAATTACGATCCCTCCTTTATGATTCCAGGCCATTGAATTTTGGGAGAGAATCATGCAGAACAAATTTATAGTTTTTTTGTTCGTGTGTATTGTATATATATGATTATATATGTGTGTATATATATTATTTTGACGCTTGAATCTATCTATAACTAATTCACTTAAAGCAATTACTCTTATTAACAAATTACTCAAATACCGAAAGAAACATAATCAAACAGATATTGATTTATTTGTGTTCTTATTTTTATTTGGATTCTATTTGCGTTCTATTGCATTTATTTGGATTCTAGAAGCAGAGAAAGAGGAGCAGGCTAGCCACAGTGATATTTTTACTGTAGAAATTGGGTCACAAAATTTGGTGATGACGGTGGTTGTGGAATTAGTCTGTACTGAGAATAATATATGATAGGGAAAAATAACACTAGCCTATCTTGATTTAATGACAGAGGTAATTTAAGTATTGACTAGCCGCCAAACCTCTTCAACTTTCAAGCGATAATATCTCGTTATCAAGGATAACTATTCTATTAGATACGAATGATGACAAATCGTATCAAGGATAAGATTTGTCATGAGGTAAATTCAAATCTTATCAAGGATAAGATTTGTTATGGGGTAAATTCAAATCTTATCAAGTATAAGATTTCCACGAGATAAGTTCCGTGGACTAAGGACGATGAAATTCCCTTATCAAGAATAAGGGAAGTGACTATAAATATGAAGACAAAGATCTCCTATTAGGGAAATTACGATAAAAAAATTATTTCTCTCCTATTAACTTAATCGTCGGAGGGTCAACGGCCGGCACCACACCGGTGTTTGACTTTACCATCTTAGTTTTGTAAGAAATTGTGTCGTACCAGGTCGCGGCGAATTTCAGCCTCAACAGTTGGCGCCGTCTGTGAAAACGACAATTCCCTTATATTAATACTCAATTGGGTAGATACATTTGCGATCTGGTATGGTCACCGAAAGAACATCGTTACAGGGATCTGGTCAAAGGGAAGAGTCGGATAAAAACCTAGACATCCCAAATGATCAGGAGCGGCTTGCAGCGTTGGAACAACAGGTCCAAACTCTGAATCAAGGTATAGACCATTTGATCCAGCAAATTGCAGTAATCCTGCAACACCTTGTTCCACCGGTTCAACAGAAATTGCCACGACAAGATTTTTCGAACCCGAATAGAGGTAATGGGAATCCTGAAGGGCAGGATAAGCATCCTCCTCGACATGAGACAGAAGTGGAACAAAGCCAGATAGGGAACGGACATAGAGAAATGATCCACCCATCTCTTCCACAGAGTTCCCGACCTCATGAAAACACAACTGTCGTTCAAAAGGCAGAGGAGATTTCCCACGTTGACCTAGAGATACAAGATCTCAAGGCAAAGATAGAGGATGTGATGCAGGCCATAAAGGGAAAAGGTATTGCAGCTATAGATAGTTTGGTGCAGAAGACCAACTTGCCGTTCAGCCCCTCAGTTATGAAATGCCCCTTACCGAGCAAATTTAGAATGCCCTCAATTGAGAGTTTCGACGGAACTAAAGATCCCATTGACCACTTGGAGACTTTTCAAGCGCTAATGTATTTGCACGCGATGCCAGATGAGATCATGTACAGGGCTTTCCCAACAACTCTCAAAAGATCAGCACGAGTGTGGTTTAACAAGCTGAAGCCAGGGACCATCGAAACCTTTGAAGAATTGAGTAAGCGTTTCATGGGATACTTCATTGCTAGCCAGAAGCATAGAAGGCTGGTTACATACCTTCTTATTGTAAAGCAGCAGAAAGGAGAGTCACTGCGAGACTACATTGGTCGTTTCAATACGGAAATGTTGCAGGTGGAGGAAGCGGATGACAAGGTGGCTTTAGCCGCCTTTATAGGAGGACTCCAAATCTCGAGATTTCTCTTTCTTTATCAGAAGAACCCCTTACCAGCATGGTGAGTTACTGGTTCGAGCTAAAAAAATATATGAATGCTGAAAATGCAATGATGGCAAGAAAGGGGAAAGAATGGGATGATAAGAAGACAGACCAAAAAAGGTCGGCTCTGATAACCAAAGATGAAAAGGAAACTAAGTATAAGAAACCTATGATCAACCAGAATGAAAGGGCGTCTCACTATAAGAGTGCGGAGAGATATACCAATTACACTCCTTTAAATATGCCAATAGATCAAGTTTTTCTGCAGATCCAAGATGAACCATATCTGAAGTGGCCACCAAAATTAAAGTCAGACCCGGCGAGGAGACCTCGTGATAAGTACTGTAGGTTCCATAAAGACCATGGGCACGCCAGAGGATTGCTTCGACCTCAAGGATCAGATTGAGACTTTGATCCGAATGGGGCATATGCGAAAATTTATTGTGGGGAATGACAAAACCGACGTTAATCTACCAAGAGCAAGCCGAGATAACCGCCTCCCTGATCAACAACCAATAGGAGAAATCAGGGTCATAGTTGGGGGATGTGCAGGTGGTGGAAAATCAAGCTCAGCCCGTAAGGCCTATGCCAGGAGAATGCGAAACTCATCTGAAGTTTGCGAAGTTGGAATACAGAATCCACACCGAAAAATGCCACGTCTAGGTGATCCTGTTATCATATTCTCAGATGAAAATATTAAGGACGTGCAACACCCCATGACGACCCTCTCGTTGTCACCATGATGATCGCTAATTATACTACTCGACGGATCTTGGTGGATAATGGAAGTTCGGCTGATATCATTTTTCTTGATGCATTCAGCAAAATGAATATTGGTAAGGAGAAACTCAAACCTACTAGATCACCATTGGTGGGATTCACGGGAGATAAGGTCTACCCTCTGGGAGCGGTCATTCTTCCTGTCACAGTAGGAACCAGCTCGAAACAAGTTACTGTTATGGTAGACTTCCCGGTGGTGGATTGCCCATCTGCTTGCAATGTTATCCTAGGAAGAACTACCTTAAAACTCGATAAGGGCAATCACTTCGACTTATCACCTCTTGATGCGTTTCCCTACAGAGCAGGGCGTAGGCGAACTAAGAGGAGATCAGACCACTGCCAGAAAATGCTATGTTGCGTCTCTGAGAGAAAAGAAGCAGCAAGAGGCTTTGGTTGTCGAAGAAATTGAAGAACAGAAGCGAGATCGAGCCAAGTCAATTAAGGACCTGGTGGAGATATGCTTAAATGACAATGACGTAACAAAAAAGGTAAAGATAGGGTTTTTACTCCCCTTAGACTTCATGAATACTCTTGTACAGTTCCTCAGACAGAATCAAGATGTGTTCGCATGGTCACATGAAGACATGCCTGGTATTGATCTAGCTACGATCGAGCATCGATTAAACACGGATCCCACAGTTAAACCTATCAGGCAAAAACGAAGAACATTTGCCGCGGAGAGGAACATGGCTATATCAGAAGAGGTGAACAAGCTTCTGAAAGCTAATTTCATCCAAGAGGTCAATTATCCCGACTGGTTGGCCAATGTTGTTTTGGTAAAAAAGGCCAATGGAAAATGGAGGTTGTGCGTAGACTTTACCGATTTAAATAAGGCGTGCCCCAAAGATAGCTTCCCTCTGCCAAGAATCGACATGTTAATAGAAGGAACGGCTGGCCATGAGTTGCTCAATTTCATAGATGCATATTCTAGATATAACCAAATCTTAATGCATCCACCAGATAGAGAAAAGACCTCTTTTGTCACGGACAGAGGTTTGTATTGCTACAAGGTGATGCCTTTTAGGCTTAAAAATGCTGGTGCAACATACCAGCGGCTAGTCAACTTGATGTTCAAGAATCAAATCGGAAGGAATATGGAGGTATATATGGATGACATGCTGGTAAAAAGCTTGAAAGCTCAAAACCACCTAGCTGATTTACATGAGACATTCCAAGTCCTCAGGAAACACCAAATGAAACTCAACCCAGACAAATGTGCCTTTGGTGTCTCCTCAGAAAAATTCCTTAGTTACATGGTAAGCAGGAGAGGGATAGAGGCCAACCCCGAGAAAATCCAAGCAATTCTCAACATGCGGTCTCCAGCATCGACTAAGGAACTTCAAAGATTGACAGGAAGAATCGCCGCTCTGAACAGGTTGATTTCCAGGGCAACGGATAGATGCCTGCCTTTTTTCGTGTGCTTAGGAAAGTTTTTTCGTGGACACCTGAGTGTGAGCAAGCTTTTACAGAACTGAAGGAGTATCTCACTTCACCACCGTTACTATCACGAGCAATGTAATGAGAGCAGTTGTATTTGTACTTGGCAGTTTCTCCATCGACAGTAAGTTCAGCCTTAGTCCGCGAAGAGGATGGAATCCAGAAGCCAGTATATTATACTAGCCGTGCATTCAAAAGGGCAGAAGAGAGGTACCCAAGGATAAAAAAAAGTTGGCCCTTGCCCTAGTTGTCTCTGCAAGGAAACTCAGGTCTTACTTCCAAGCACATACCATAATAGTATTGACAGACTAGCCATTTAGGCAAGTCCTCTGCAAACCTGATACTTCGGGGCGACTCATGAAGTGGTCAGTAGAACTTAAAGAGTTTGATATCCAATACAAACCCAGAACGGCCTTAAAAGCTCAGGTGATGGCATATGTTATACTAGAATTCACACCAGAAGATAGGCACGAGCACGGCGTAGATGAACAAGAAGAAACTGAATCTACTTGGATATTGTATATGGATGGATCGGTCAACGCCCGTGCAAGTGAGGCGGGGCTAGTACTTGTTTCCCCAGAGGGGGAATGCATCAAATACTCCCTCAGGTTTGGGTCTAAGGCAACCAACAATGAGGCTGAATATGAAACCCTCCTGGCAGGCCTCAGGATGGCTAAAGCCCTAGAAGTTGAGCGACTAATAGCGTATACTGATTCTCAACTAATAACTAGACAAGTCCAGGGGGAATATGAAGCAAATGATGAGAAGATGAAGACCTATTTGTATAAGATAGAAGATATCAAAGGATTCTTTAAGAAGTTTTCCATTCATCAGATTCCCCGAGAAGATAATGGTCAAGTAGACGCCTTAGCCCGACTAGCAACCGCAGCAGAGGAAGATAAAGCTATACCTGTGGAACATTTGGATGAGCCTAGCATAGTTCGGGATTGGTCACCAGGTGATCCAAGGTATGGAATGGGCAGAACCCATTATCAGGTACATAGAGAACGAGGAGCTACCCCAAGATCGCATGGAAGCACGAAAGATCAGGATGCGTGCGACAAAATATTGCCTCATTGAAGGGGTTCTCTACAATAAAGGATTTTCTCTACCCTACTTGCGTTGTGTCTCCATAGATGAGGCGAATTACATTCTAAAGGATATACATGAAGGCCTTTGTGGAAACCATGTTGGGGGCAAATCACTAGCGCATAAAGCTATCCGACAAGGATACTTTTGGCCTACTATGAGAAAAGATGCGCTTGAGTTTGTGAAGAAATGTGACAAGTGCCAGAGATTCGCCAATGTCCCAAAACGACCAGCAGAAGAGTTAACCCCTCTTACAAGGCCGTGGCCTTTTGCTCAATGGGGGACGGACCTCATTGGCCTCTTACCCCAAGGGAAGGGACAAACTAAATACGCAATTGTGGCTATTGATTATTTCACCAAATGGGTGGAGGCTGAGCCATTAGCTCATATTGGAGCGAATGAAGTAAAAAAGTTTTTCTGGAAGACAATAATCTGCAGGTTCGGAGCACCAAGGGTAATCGTGACCGATAATGGGAAGTAGTTTGAAAGTGAGCAGTTCCTTAATTTTTGTAATGAACTTGGGGTCAAAATTCATTTCTCTTCTCCTGCCCATCCCCAAGCCAAAGGGCAAGTTGAGGTCACGAATAGGACAATACTAAAGATGATCAAGACACGCCTAGAAAAGGCCAAGGGCTTGTGGCCTGAACAACTACCCGGAGTTTTATGGGCCTATCGCACTACAGTAAGAACCCCCACTGGGGAGACCCCTTTTAGGTTGGCTTTTGGAAATGAAGCTGTGATCCCGGTAGAAACAAAGGTTGCTACCTTCAAAACCAAGTATTTTGAACCTCAACAGAACGAGATGGAACTACGGTGAAACTTGGACTTGATAGAAGAAAAAAAAGAGCAGACCCAAATCAAGGTTGCAGCTTACCAACGGATGGTATCCAAGTACTACAACGCCCGGGTTAAGCTAAGAAGGTTCGAGCTAGGGGACCTGGTGCTTCGCGAGGTTACCCCGGCTACTATGGTGAAGGGAGAATGAAAGTTAGCTCCCAACTGGGAGGGCCCCTATCAAGTAACCCAGTGCAACAGACCGGGGGGATATTGGTTAGAGACACTTGGTGGGAGCCAACTTCTCCACCCATGGAATGCAGAATATTTAAGGAAATATTACCGGTAGGTACAGGCTATGTCTTATTATCTCACTTTTAAAAGTGATAGTATGTTTTTAGATTCAATAAAGCAGACCAATGTTTAATGGATGCTGATGCTGGACTATCGAATATTGTTTTCGATAAGTCTTTAATAAAATTCGTATTTATTTCACGTGTTTCTACTACTGATTACGTTATTACTGAATTTAATAAGTCACGAGAGGACTAGTAAAGCATTAAGTCCATTTATTTATTAAAAGAAATATTCCTTTACTAAAGGGACGAGCTGGGTAAAGCTCGTAAAAAGACATTCCTTCAGAAGAAGGATAGGCTAAGTGAAGCCTGAAAAAGTAAAAGAAATTCTGCATACGGAAGTAACGAGTATGAAGCAATATCATGAAAGATAAAATGTCAAAAGAAAAGCAACTATTCTCTGAGTTGAGAGATGTCAAAAGAAGAACAACTATTCTCTGAGTTGAGAGATATTTTGAACAGTTCTAAGAGATCGAATGCTAAAAAAAAAAAACCCTAATATATATATAACTGTTACTATGGAGTTTAATCTTCCTCTTCACTCTCCGCCAGAATATCATACATAGAAAAATCTATGTCTGGACGATCTTTGCTGACAAGAGTTTTGAAGTGGTTAAAACCATCACAACAAGCCTTGGCTATGAGCACCTTGAACTCGTTAGAATTTTTAAAGCTCTCCACGGCAACTAACTTCTCAAGTTCCAGCTTATCGAAGTATTCTTTGGTAAGTCTAACTTTCTCATCTTGAAAGTTTAATTTCGCATTAGCCAAGTCATCTTCTTTATTTTTAAGCATAGAAGTAACATCTTTGTATTTAGCCTTGAGGGAAGCCATCTCTAGGGAAAACTTTTCATATTCTTTTGCAATAACAACAGAGTATGTAGTGCCTTATAAATCAATACATAAATAAATAAATAGTGGCAAATAGTTGAAAAAGAAAGATATGCACATGATAAGGGTAAAATCTCACCTGGCTAATTAGATGAAGAAATTTCCTTGAAAGCTCAGATGCTGGCAGGTTCTGCAATTTGGCAGCGTTGTCTTTTACTACCATTTTATGTAACCTATCATACGCGACATTAGCGTTATCGAGAATCGACTCCCCTTGGGAAAATGCCTGGTTGGTTGATACTGAACTAAAACTCTCGAAATTCTTAGGAACCCTGCCAAATCCATTAAAACCTAGAGATATAGGAGTGGGACCTGGTAACACACCAGGGTTTGAAGATTTACCATGATTTTGCTATCCTACCCTTCATAATTTCTTAAAAGCAGGAGTAGAGGGAAGATTACTTGACCGGACTTGGGCTAGGAGCCTTTTACTGAGTTTCTGGCCTACATAAAGAGTAGTAAGGAAAATATTTATTAACATATTAACTAAAATTAGTAAGTTTACGTATAAGTACCTTTGTTTTTCTTACCTTTCTCTGAATGGGTAAGGGATTCAGTTGAGCTAGTAGCTCGTACATACAATTCTAGAGCTTCCTCCGTCATAAGATCACTAAAGGTCTTCACTGGGTGTGCAAGGGCGTTACCAACATATTCTTTTTCTTGGGCTGAGAGAGTTGGTTTCGCTTTAAAGTTTGGAAAACGGAATTGTAAGTCGCAATTTTCTTATATATATATATATATATATATATATATATTTGTGAGTACTATTTACATGAATAGTACCCGCGGGTACTGTTCACAGTTTTTTTTTTTTTTTAATTGTGAGTACTATTCCGCGGGTACTGTTCACAATATAAAAAAAAAAAAAACTTTTTACCCGCTGGAATAGTACCAGCGAGTACTGTTCACAGTTTAGGAAAAAAAAAAAAAAAAAAAAGAGAACAAAAAAAAAAAACATATATATACATTGTTATATATCATACCTGCAGGGTCTGAATTACTCTAAACACTGGGAAATTTCCCGTATGCACCGGAAATAAAGAAGAAACGACTCTTCCAGTCTTTATTATTTTCAGGAGCTGCAACAAGGAGGAATATCTTCCTTGATCGACACTGAAAGTATCAAAAGTTATCCTTTTTCTTCTTGGGATAATAAAAATTCAAGAATTGATTTACTGTTAGACGACCATTGCCACACCTTCCCCAAACAATCAAACAGCCTATAATAATTCTCCAGGAATTAGGGGCAATTTGAGAGGGAGCTATCTTCAGATAAGAAAGAATTTCTTCTACGAATGGATGAATCGGAAAACGTAAGCCCACAGCAAAAGTCGACTCGAAAAAGCATACCTCGCCCAAACGAATAGAAGAACATTTATCTTCTGGCTTGGGTTTGTGAAGGTGAATAAATGAATGAATGGAATATTTGAATCTACAATTCTGTAAATTCTCATCCTTAATTAAGGATTCTCCTTCACGTGGAGGTTGCTTGGAAAAAGCAGTCCTTGGTCTTGAGGAATAATCAACACCAAATTCGTCAGCATAATCAGGATCAAGTTCTTCAACACTTTTAGAGGTTGAGTCTTCAGATTGGGATTCAATATTCAAGTTATTTTCCTGCACGGACATGATGAGATATTGGATATCGCGAAAATAGCGAAACCACTATAGAATTACACCGATAACCCGGGAGAAACGACTTAACCCAATTACGTGTCTACAACGATCCATAAGAAACTCACAGTTAGGATCCAGTTTAAAGGATTTCAGAAAAAAAAAAAAGGAGGTAAATAAATAAATTTATTTATTTATAGGAAAATTCTTTTTCAAGTAACAGTGAAGTTCTTGTAAAAAAGTCCTACTACAATATGGAAGGAGCTTGTAGTAAAAAGGAAAAAATAAAATATAGAAAGTATTTCCTTGGTCCAAAACGTACCCGGAAATAGGGGGCAACTGATAGGAAAAAATAACCCTAACTTATCTTGACCTAATGACAGAGGTAATTTAAGTATTGGCTAGCCGCCAGACCTCTTCAACTTTCGAGCGATAATATCTCGTTATCAAGGATAACCATTCTATTAGATAAGAATGATGACAAATCGTATCAAGGATAAGATTTGTCATGGGGCAAGTTCAAATCTTATCAAGGATAAGATTTTCACGGGATAAGTTCCGTGGACTAAGGACGATGAAATTCCCTTATCAAGAATAAGGGAAGTGACTATAAATATGAAGACAAATCGGGAATAAGGCACACACAAAAAAGATCTCCTACTAGGGAAATTACGATAAAAAAATTATTTCTCTCCTACTAACCTGATTGTCGGAGGGTCAACGGCCGGCACCACACCGGTGTTTGACTTTACCGTCTTGGTTTTGCAGGAAACGGTGTCGTACCAGGTCGCGGCAAATAATTTTAAATTTATATAATCTAATAGCAAAGATTGATGATGGATAATTGATTTAAATTTGTATAATTGATTAATGATGGATAAGAGAAGATTGGCGACGACCAATCGACGGCGACGAGAAATATTCAACGAAGGCTGACCATTGGTCAACGGCGATGGCTTGATTTGCATCGGTAACGGCTTGATTTATGTTGGCGATGACTTTATTTATATGATTTTGGGGCTGATTTGTGTTGGCAAAATTGCATTGACGTCGCAAACCCAGTATCAAAATAAATTTGCACCTAATATCCTATCTCAACCCAATCGAAATCGTCCCCCCCTCTCTTTCATAAAACCAGTCTCTTAGCAGTGAACCAAGCCGACACGTCGTGCGGCATCAATGCTGCCGCCGAGCAAGAATGTCAGTGTGGTTGTTTCACCGGAATGAACAGTATTACTGGTGGTGGTAGCTATAGGGGTGGGAATGGAATAGGGGTGAGGATAGTGGTGATAACACACAGGTTATGGTTACGGCCGAAATATACCGTGGTAGTTATGGATTTGGAGATGGAAGCGGTGGTTTAGGGTGAGGATGAAAAAAATGAAAAATAAAAATCAAATATAAATATAAAATGACTTTATTTATTCCTGTATATGGAAAAGGAAGGGTAAACATGTAATTTTAATCATTCAAGAAACAATTTAGTGGCGAAACCAAAGTCAAATGATAAGAATGTCTTTTTAGATGTAAAAAGTGGTTTACACATGTTAACTAACTTTTGAGGAGTAAGTGAAAAACGGAGCAAACGTTTATAATGTGAATGATAATTATTTTTGAAAAATATTTGAGACTAAAATTTGTCCAAACCTCAGGGGTGTTAGTGAAATTATCCCTAAATTTTATTTATTTATTTATTTTTCAGATGTTAATTATGTTGTGTTTGTGTTAATGTGTACGAATAGAATGGATTGCACATTCCAACTATTGCTTTGTTTGATATGCAATTTAAAGTGGGAATGGTCATTCCATTTGAATAATAATCAATTCCACAACTAAACCTATAGAATGGTCATACCATTCCCAAGTAATTTTTTTTTAAAAGTCAACTTCCCAAATAACCCTCGTGTTCCAAGTCTAAAAATCACAACTATCTTCCACCACAACCACTTCTGCCTTTCACCACCACCATCGTCAACTTCCACCGCCTTCCAGCATTACCACTGCCCACCACTTTCCACCACTATCATCGCCACCGCCTTTCACCACCGACACCACCTTCCTTTGTCGCAACCATCACCACCACTATCTTCCACCACCGTCGCCGCCATCACCTTTCTCCACCACCATCACCTTCCACCACCGCCACCGCCTCTCACCACCGCTACTGCCTTCCACTACCACCACCTTCCATCACCGGTCACCACCGCCACCGCTTTCCATCGTCACTGTCTTCCACCGCCACCGCTTTCCGTCATCACTGCCTTCCACCGCCACCGCTTTCCATTGTCACTGCCTTCCACCACCATTGCAGTCACCTCCATTGGCTTCAACAACCACCAGCTACACTACTATCTCTTTCCACCACCAACACCATTACCGCCTTCCAACACCACCACCTACACCCATTACCGCTTTCCACCTCCACCATTGCCACTGTCATCATTTATTTTTAAAAAATTATAAAAGAATGTCATTTTATTAATTTAATTTATTTGTTACTAAGAGAGGTATTGTAATACCCCTAATTTTAAAAAGGATATTCCTGGTATTTAATGGTATTTAATTTATTATTTAAGTGCATTTTATTTGATTATGTGTCATTATTTTTTTTATTAGGTGCTTAATTGTTTTCTTTTGTGGTGATTTAATTTATTTAAATGATATTTATTTTTAGTTATTTGATTGGAATTACTTGTTAGTGTTTTAATTATTTAAGTGGCATTAATGGTTTAAGTGTAATTGGTTTAGTTATTTGATTGGAATTACTTGTTAGTGTTTTAATTATTTAATTGGCATTAATGGTTTAAGTGTAATTGGTTTAATTATTCTATGTGTGTCTTATTTAGTTTAATTGGGTTTACTAATTATTATTTTGTTCAATTAGATTATTTGTTAAGTATTTAATGGTGAATAGGGTAATTAGGTAAATACATCTAACTAGGGTTTTAATTACAGTATAAATTAGGGTTTTATATTATAGCCGTCGTAGGTTTCTACGTTAATTGGATGGGCCGGTTAGGATTGTGAGTTGGACTTAAATGAACCTAGGGTTTAGGAAAACTCTATAAGTATAAGGTAGACGTCTGTGTAGGGTTTTTTTAAACAAAGCACACGTTTTGTGGAAGTGGAGAAGGAAAAACGTAGTTTTTCACATTCTTCCAAGGTTTGATCAAAGCTCCGATCCCGCTTCGTCCGTGGTCTAATCAAGCTGAATTTTGGAGAAGAGGTTCACGACTCAGTGACGCACAATCTGAATGATGGAGATCAGAGTTTGACCTCGGGAACAGTAATTCGTACTCATGAACAGTAACTGGGTCGCACAGGTTTTTTTCCATTCTGCCCAGATTTCATCAAACAGCCGATCCCGCTTCGTCCGTGGTCCGATCGAGCTGAAATTTGGAGGATAGGTTCATGACTCAGTGTCGCACAATCTGAACGGTGGAGATTAGATTTTGAGTTCGGGAATAGTGTTTTGTACCCGTGAATAGTAACTGGGTTTTGGAACTCGCAGGGATTTTTTAAGAAGACGACGTTGAAACTTTGAACAAAAGTTTCTAAGGCAAGATTCTATCCTTACTCTTTCCCTTAGGCTTCATACTCTTTTCACTCTTAAATGATTCCAGGATTAATGAAGATTAAACCAAACTAAAATGATATCTGTTTTGCTATGAAACTGGTAGTTACAGTAGTGTTGTATGCTTGTTCAACCTAGACTAAGCATGTTTGTGGATGCATTGTGGTTCTGTGGTTCACGTTTTCCTTACCACTGCTAGTATAAATTATTGGAAGGATGGGTCTAGATGATAGCTATCTTAACTTCTGTAATAGCAACTGTTGGAACTTAAATACTAGGAGGATTTGAGTTTAACACTAGATCGGTTTTGTGGAACACTATAATTTGAGCATGTCTACATACATACTGTGAATATTGTTTTGATGCTTACATTATCACAGTTAGTATCAACTGTGGAGGTTAGGATTTTGTGATACATACCCTACATATCTGTATGTCATTTGTAAGGTGTTAAATGGAAGTTTTAATTAATTCTGTCTTTATATCAGACTAAAGGGAACAACTTAAATTGGGCATGTATATGTTGTTATTGTGACCCTGTTTATCAATGTTTATTTTATCACTGCTAACATTGAATGTTGGATGTTGGAATTTAGTTGATATATACTTGATTTATTGGTATTATTGACTACTGGAGGATTGGAAAGTAGGCACCGGTATGGGACGGTGGCATACTAAGGATGGGTTTGGTTTTTAAAACAATATCATTACCCACCTACTTGGAATAAGGATGGGATTAACTAAAAGTTAAGTCCCGTGGATTTGTATTGTCATGGCAACTACTTGTTGAGTGGCAATACCAGGGATTTTGGATGGATTTTATATATGTACTGATATGGTGCCTCGGTATGAGCTTGAGCCTCAGGACCGATGGCTAGGGAGCGTATATGCATCGGGATGTGTAGCTGGCTACGATGGTTGGAGGTGTACCCTGTTTAGGTATAGGTACATATGCCCACTTCGTGTGCGTTTTAGCATGTTACCTCTATTCAGGTTGAGACCGGCCTGTAGTCCAGTGAGAGTCATTTAGTGTGACTATATATATATTTACGGACTATCAGCTATTGTTGAATTGTTTAGGATGTACATGCGTATCGGGCCTCTGTTTGGATTGTAGTAGTATAGAACTTGCGCGTGGGCCTGACCCACTTCTATTTTTTCAGGTACACGACAGTTCCAGGCTTAGACGTGTTCGTGCTGAGCAGAGGTCTCTATTCACTCTTCCGGCGATGTAGGGCTCTCTCTATAGTTTTATTTCTGGACGTTTATTACAGTTGTTCTATCTTCCGTTTGGATGTTTAATAGGGGTCCACTAGAGATGGATTCCCAAGTTGTAAACTGATGGAGTTTTGGAGTTTGGGTTTGATGGATTTTAATAATTATAATTTTTTGCGGATTCTATTTTTAGTTTCTTCCAGCTTTAATTTCATTTCTTAATTTATTTTGTATTCCGTGTTCATTATAAAATATTAATTGTTTGATATTCCCTCGGGTTTGGGCCTGGGCCTGATCAACCCCTGTCTCGAATCCGAGGGGTATCACAGATATTTTGGAGTACTCAATTTGAAATTTATTTCATTATAAATTTTAAGTTAGTCCAACCAAACACTGGAATTGGTTATTATCATTTCATTCTTACACATTTCATATTTACAACCAAAAAATAGAATAAGAATGGTCATTCCATTCTGTTCCGATTCTCATTCTATTCCATTATTGCACACTAAATGCTACAAAATCATATAATTAAGTTTCATTAATTAAATTAAAAAAATTATGGCCTTCCTCATATTTTTAATTAACGAAACTTAATTATATTTTTAAAAATATGATTTTACAACGCCATAAAGAACAAAGTCCATGACAAAGTAAAATTCATAGCACACTATTGTTTATAATGGGACACTGTAATGTTTCCCATTTTTCCATTTTATCAATTTCGGGTATTTTTTAAATTTTTTGAATTTATTTATTTATTGCGTCGTTTTGTGTGTCGGACGCAGTAGGGTATGCCGTGTGAGTTTCGAGAGTTGTTTAGGGCATTTCGTCGAGTCCAGGACTCTCAGAAATGCATTGTTGGCCATTTAGGCATTTTTTAGATTTTCGGACTGAGAAGTCCCGGGTGGGATCTGCACCCGGATTTTTCGTACTTGAAATTTTTTTTCGAGATCATTACATTTCATATTGTATTAATTGGAGTGTGTTTATGTGGTTGTATGTTTAATTACATCATTATAGCATGTTTTAATTATATAATTGCACATGGGGGCATTTTCTCCCACATTGACCAAGGATGATACATAAGACCACAAGACCACATTTTTAGTCATTTTTCCTCTACTTTGCAGCCGAGAGCAGCCATTTTCTCTCTAAAACTCTCTCTTTCTTTCTCGATCTCAAATTTCGAGCTTCTATTTCACTTTCTTCTACTTAGAATTGAACTTTGCCATAAAAGGCAAAGTTAACGAGTATGACGAGGGATACGATTTGATTGGAGCCGATTTTCATTTGGGCCACTTTGGAATTTTTTATTTTGGGGCTTTTACTTGAATCTCGAGGTAGGGGATTCTAAAACTCAAATTCTTTGATTCTTGTGAATTAATCATTTTATATGTGCCACGATTATGTGAAAATGTGAACATGAAACTTGTTGGTTAGGGTTATTGTTGCAAGAAATGATACGCATGTTTTATGTGTCATATATATGTTGAAATTCATGCCTACGTGAACTATTGTGAAATGAAATGCTTGATGGATGATGTTACATGAAGTACTTGTCTAAATGTCATGAATGTTAAGTTAATGTTGGAAACGGGGTACATGAAACAAAAACTTTGAATAAAATTTAGAGTAGATTCCGCTAAGAATTTTTTGCGAATCTATAAACGAACACGTTCCTCTCTACAAGGAGATGAATATGGTATATTTATTTTTTCAAATCCGTTCCGGGTGAATAAAAAATTAGCTCCAAAGTGAGGTATTTGATAATCCTAAATGTATATGCAAAATGTGGGAAGTGCTTGTCCCACATAAAAAAATTGATAAAATCAATTGGAGTTTAAATAAGGCCTAAGGGCATCTAAGTTTTTAAGAGGGGGAGGACCTAGGCAAGCTTGGGTCCAAACCATCTACCACACGCGCGTGCCCCACCCAGTCCGGGCTTGGGCTTGGTTGTAAAGTATGTTTAACTTTTTATTAAATGAAATTGACCTGTGTTGGACTTTATTTTAAATTGTGGCTGGGCTTAAGTTGGTTTTTCATTTGAAAGGGTGTGACTGGTCTGAACCAGTGCACCTTGCACCTGGTTCAAACCAGTGCTTTAAATTGAATTCAAAATAAAATCAATTTTCAGTTTTCTATTTTGAATGAACCAATGTGACCCATGGTTGGACCCATCAGAAAAAGGCACTTTACTGCCTATATAAACCCTTCTTGGGTTTATTTCCAAAGCACACTAATTTAGAATTATCTTCTCTAATTATTAATTATCTTCCTCCTTTTCTCTTCTTGCATACATGGTCCGTGGGTTCGAATCTTAGTCTGTGAGAGAATACTACACCGAGTCGATTCGTCTATTTCTTCGGTTTGCAGTGCTACTACCGAAGGAAGACAAGTTGTTGTATTATGAGAGATAGACACCACTAAGTCCATTAGCACCATAGTGGGGTGAATCTGTCTTGAGGATATAAAATCAAATTCTAGCATCGACTTTTAATCAAGTTCTCTTATTTTATAGTTTTTATTTTATTTCTTATAACTATATTTTATAAGAAATTATATATATATATATATATATATATTTGTTTTATAATTATATATATATTATATCTTTGCATAACAATTAAATATTAATACTATAGTATATGGTATAGTTACACCATATATTTTATACAACAGTTAACTATGTGGAAATTAATGTATTAATTATCTTTTAAATATGCAAGCACGATTACATTTTAATGTATGAGATTTTATGTTGGTATAATGATGGCATTATTGAGACACTCGTGTATAGACATTGGACAAGCAATGGGGAATTGATTTTGAAATGAAAATAAATTGATTTGGGGAAAAGTTTTGAAAAGGTATTGTGAAAATCAGACGGCAATGAGACGCCTTGTAGGTGTCTGTAGCGTTATTGGGACCTAGAGGGAATTAGGGAGACTACCCTAGCGTGGTTGAGCTACCTAAGCCCCAAACGACGCTAAGGAGTTGCCTTAGGTCAGGGATGTTGAAGAATATCAGCGACCACAAGAACGAAAAATAACGAAGCAGAGGCGAAATAAGGATAAATGTTCTAACCAAATTCAGAATGATTTCGTTAGCGAATTCAATTATACAACATCCCTTTATCAATCTAAGTTTTAAAGTTTTGAAGTTGCTCAAATAGCACAAGAGGCACGCAAAGCAGATAAAGAAAAGACCAAACAACTAAGCTTCAAAGCAAACTAAGAGAGATTGAAAACAAACAAAGAGTTGAATAAATGTTAATCATGTAAAAAGATCCAGAATCGATGCCAACACAAGCAGGGAAAACATGGCTAATTGAATGCCAAAATGAAATATTAGAATCTATATGCTCACGCGGTAACCCAAGCTTTCCATAGAATTATTTCAAGCATTCCACAGGATTATCTCAAGCATCCATATGATTGTTCTGTTTTTCTTAATTGATTTTAATAATGGTATTATATTATTATTATTATTATTTTTTAAATTCATGTCGTATTGTATTATTTTTTATTTTTATAATTCATAATAACTATTGTATTGTTTAAATTTTTTGTATGATATAACCGGTTTAAAAATATAGACGTTAAAAAAAAGTTAAAAAATAAAATTTATTAAAATATTTTAAAATATTAAAATTTGTTTGGAGAGTAAAAGTATACCATTGAAGCATATTCGATAACTAAAATTTAGATTCTAAAATACTGACATGGTTATATAAAATGTTGACGTAACTATTGAAAAATGCTAATGGTACTCTTATTTAAAATAAAAAAATAAAATAAAAAGACACGACTGCAAATCACAAGCCAAGTCATCGCCGCCGTACCAACAAAAATATCTTTGATATTGACTGTTCTAACTTAAAAGACAGGCTCATTGACTGGTCTCTATTGGCCGATCAGTCTGCACGCGGTGTCGTGTCTTATTATTGGTGCTCGAGCCGACAAGCCAAGCCGTTCAGAACGAACAATGAGTTAAAAGATTTGCGGAATTGTGATTAACCAGTTCTCTGGGCGAACGTGTTCTAAAACAGTGGGGCTTATTCAAAAACTTAGGCCCAAACCTGCAAATTTGGGCTACTTCAAAGTATAATCCAGACAATTCAATTCATGTCTGTTTACAACATCATAGACTTAGCAAATCATTTGTTAAATAAGTGTATAATGTTGTTAAATAAGACCCTTAGCGAAATGATCTGACACGTATAATAAGAGTATATTAATAAAACATATACTCCGTATAAAACTATTTTTTCTTCCTTTCAATTAAACTAATAAAAGTATAAAATATTTTTCCATTCATTGTTTTTACCGCCATTCTATTCTCCTTTAAATCCTTTTTCATTATTTTTCTCACCCCTCTTACAAAAGTAACTTAATAGTTACTTCAAAATCTTGTGCATGTCTACCTTCTGAAAATAAAAATAATTCTTGTGTATGTCTAAACCGGTATAATCAAGTTAACGCATGGATATTTTAGAAAAGTAAATCTAAATCTCATTATAACTTTTCTCATCCATTTAAAAAAAAATTTGCTGCCTTTTTCTTTTAATGTGATTTTTTCAGAACAACATCTAAATTTTTAGATACAATTTTTTTTCTTCTTTTTTATATATTATGTTTTGCTGTGGTTCATTTGGCTTAATTTGATTAGAGAAAAATTTAGTGGTGACGCGTAAGCAAGTGCATCTCTTTTATGTTAACATTAACTAACTTTTTACTTATGTGTCACCATACGATTGGGCCGGGACCAATAGTTTTTGGACTACTTAATAATTCATCCATAAGTACTTAACTTTCCCACAAAAAATTTCTTCAGGGAAATTTTGTTTTATTGAGAAAAGTGTATTTATAAATTTTTTTTTTAAATAAAATATATTGGTGCATAAATTTTGATAAGAGTAGTATCATATTCTGTATATCGCTGAAGTTTTTTTATATTTATTTAAATTCTTATATTGTTTTTTCCATTAAAAATACAAAATTATTAAATAAAAAATTATTTAGACCAATTATCATATTAAATAAAAATATAGACAATTTAACTAAATCATAATTAACATTGATACTATCCAAACTATATAAAATAAGACTTTTTCACAAATTTTAAATTTTTTTTTTTTACTGATTAAATGAATGCAAAAAAAAATTATTTTGCTTCATTTCATATGCCTTCCCAAAAAAAATTAAAGATAAAGCAAAAAGATTTCTTACCACAGGATCATAAATTCACAACATCTCCGCCATTAAAAACAAGTGCTCATAACTTGTTTACTCTATTTATCGCACAAGAAGGAAAAAGATTTACCTTCCCAAAAAAAAAAAATTACTAGTACCTTCCAAAACAAAGGCAAAAGATTTCTCACCTCATAGATCATAAATTCACAATCATCTCCACCATTAAAAGACTGCTCACTTCTACGTGTTTCTTTTATGCATCGGCACTATTAGGAACGGCGCTTTTTATGTGTAGTCCACAGTAAAGACATATATTTCACATTTTTCATAGCCATTCACAGCTTCGTACCTCCGATCACTCTCTGTGCATCAATCAATGGCTAGTAATGGTGGTAATTCTGCAGCAAACGACGCCGTAGAGCTGGAATTCATGCGCAGAGAGGACTCCTCTTGGCACCCTTGCCATGTCTCTCTAAGGTTTGAGTCCACCTTTCTCAGCTTCTCTCAACTCTATTTTTCTGTTCGTTTACCTAGAAAATATTCGAGATAGAGTTGATTATTTGTTTTCAGTTCATGTCGTGATCGTATGACTCTCGTACATTGTAGATATTAGATAATTAGGGCGAGAGTCTGGAGACATTTGACATTTGTTCTATTAATTGCTGGAGAGAAAAAAAGACTTTCATTTTTCTATAAATTGTATAGTGCATTTAAATTAAATGATTGCATTCCGAGTTTTTTTTATTTTTTATTTATTTATTTTTTTTCCCTTTTTGTAACCCTATTTTACTAGTTTGATCAAATGCAATCAATTTATGCTTCAATTGCTTCTAAGTGGATGTGAATGAGTATTTCGTCTATAACTAGAAAAGAACTAATGCGATTTCGGTTAGATATTGAATTGAAAGATTGTTCCCAAATTATCCATTGACAGTGGTCACCGGTCACCACTTAAATTAATTCCCTTGCTTCGGCAACCTGAAACTGAAACAATATGCAGCACTTGTATAAAAAATGATTTCATGGCTCTTTATTTGTGCAGCTCTAGTGGTCTTATTGTAGACTATGGGGGCAATGACTCAGAAGATATGATAGTGGATAAAGAAGAAGCATTTGCGCGACTTCGTGTTCGTTCTGTTCCTTTACAAGGTGATGATTGTTCTTTCATCCAGGAAGGTGAGCATGTACTTGCCAACCAAAAGTCACAATCTAAGAATCTATTCTTTGATGCTGAAGTAGAAAAGGTACATTCTCTTACTTGGTCTAAAATTAGTAGTATTTGTGGTGTGTGCATTCAGTAAAATGGAGATACTGAATTTTGTCTTTTGCTAAAATATAATATTGTGATGATATAGTAGCACAAATGACGTTCTTGATGATAGAACAAGAGCATCAAATTGATGGTTTAGATTGGTCATTGGTGGCATCACTGTGAATGTGGTGATGGGACCTCACAGTTGGAAATGGGACCATTATGTATTGAAATACTGCTCCCTTCCTGAATAGTTTACCTGGGTAGTACTTTGCAAATAAAAGAAATATCTTATGTTTTGTTAAATTGGGGTAGTGATTTTATGGGCAAGATTTAGTAAATCATCAAATGTGTGACCAAGCTACTGCCTGAGCATAGCTGATAATTGGCCCACTGCACTTCAGGGGACAACTGAACAATGCAAAGAAGACATCTATTGTTGAGTTAACGACACGATTGATTGAATTTCAAACTTCCCAACTAGTGTTGTTAAAGGCGCGCCTAGGCTCCCGGCTCATTCAGGTTCACCTTTGACAACATTTACGCCTTTAAAATGGAATAGGAATATGCTTAATAGTAATTTAATTTTCAATTGTGCACCTCGCTTCACTTAGGCACGCGCTTCGTCTTGCGCCTAGGCTCCAAAGGACCTCTAGCACCTTGTGCGCCTTGAGCCTTTGATAACACTGTTCCCAACTAGCCATTAAGTTAGTATTCCCATTTGCCTGGTATCATTATCTTTTAAATTATATTGTTATATCTTACTCTCTTTTACTTTATAAATCCTAATCACTTTGTTTGACTACCATTAATCAAAATAACTTCATTGATTCTAACACGTCACTATTTTATGGTTGTATTAAACTTTTTTTTTTTTCCTAGTTGATTTTATAACTTAGAGGTTAGGAGGATTAATTAGGAATATTAAAAAAATAGTACACTGGATTTTGAATGGGAACAATTATTTTGGGACAACCAAAAATGGAAAGGTGGACACTTTTTGTGGGACGGAGGGAGTATATATGACTTTCTCAAATTGGAAAGTATTTTCTTTGGTGGGACAAATATGAAAGTATTGTTGATTATTAACAAAAAACTGGTGGAGCTGGACTGAACCGAACTGGATTGTATCGGTCTGGTCTGGTCCTGAACTGGTTCTAAAACCATAGAACCGTTAGTTAACAGTTCGGTTCTCGGTTTGGGGTCCAATGGGACCAGACTGAACCGAACCATTAACTAAATGTATAGATATATAATTAGATATATAATATTATATCTATAATATATAAATATAGAGATATATAATTATATATCCAATATTATACCCATAATATATAAATATAGAGATATATAATTATATATCTAATATTATACCAAGGATTGTTTTAGGACTGTATATCGAGGAGTGTTTTAGAACTGGAAGAATCTTGCAACCTTCATTATTAGAATTTTGATGGCAGTTGTAGGACTGTATATTCTGAAGTCAGCTAGCGACTGTGTTTTTAATGTCAAGATGCGTAGTTTATTGGAAACTGACAGGTAGATAGCACATTTCAATGCACAACAGAATCTGATTGTGTAATCCATTGCAAATGAAGATACAAGATGGCTGTGGTGCTGTTATTTTGTCCTATTACCACTCGGTTTCATTGCATTGTATTATTTTTATTTTTTTACTTTTATTTTTTTCTATACTTTTTTTAATTAAGGCTGTAATACGAATCAAGCTACTTAGAGCATCAGTCATACTTGGTTAGAGGCTTTCTTGAGATTCACCAGTGACATACGACTCTATAAACTTGAAAGGAAAGAAATATGGAGTAAACCTTTTCTCTGTATTAGCACACAATTCACAAGTTTCATGGGTTCTCTTTATAGGAGAGAGTACACGCACATAACTAGCTGCCTAATTAATAATTTCCTAATTTACAGCATTTGACTAATATTCTATTTACAGCAAATATCCTCCAAATATTATATTTACAGCTAATAATATTTGGTAGTATTACTACCGAATCTTTCCTTTTCAACACTCCTCCTCAAGCTGGTTTGAAGATATCCTCCATAGCCAGCTTGCCAATTAGTCTGTCGAACTGTCTTGTAGGAAGTTACTTTGTAAGCACATCTACAACTTGCTCGGTAGTAGGAATATACGGCATACAGATCAATCCTTTTTCGAGCTTTTCCTTGATGAAGTGTTTGTCTACCTCTACGTGCTTTGTTCTGTCATGAAGCACTGGATTGTGAGCGATTGAAATAACAGCTTTATTGTCATAGTACAATTTCATAGGCAACGGATTAGAGACCTTTAATTCATCCAGTAGTCTCTTAATCCATAACACCTCACAAATTCCATGAGCAATTGATCTAAACTCGGCCTCTGCGCTGCTTCTTTTTACTCCGCCAGGTGACAAGGTTACCTCCAACAAAGGTGTAGTAGCCAGAAGTTGACCGTCTATCAATAGCACTCCCAGCCCAATCCGCATCAGTATAGGCTTCAACTTGCAAATGCCCATGGTTTTTTAACAGTAAACCTCTTCCAGGGGACCTTTTAGGTATCTGAGAATTCTGTAGACTGCATCAAAGTGTTCTCGTCCAGGTGAATGCATGAACTGGCTAACCATGCTGACTGCAAAAGCTATATCTAGACGTGTATGTGAGAAGTAGATCAGTCTTCCAACAAGTCTTTGATACTGCTCTCTATTCATAACTTTTTCATCTTTAGAAGGCTGTAGCTTAAGGTTGGGCTCAATGGGTGTCTCGGCTGGTTTACATCCCAGCAGACCTATCTCACTAAGTAAATCAAGAACATATTTACGTTGATTCACAAATATACCTTCTTTGGATCTAGCAAACTCCATTCCAAGAAAGTATTTTAATGCACCCAAATCCTTGATCTTAAAGTCAGCTGTAAGTCTCTTTTTCAGTCTCTTCAATTCTTCATTGTCATTACCTGTCAAGACTATATCATCCACATAGACAATTAACACTGCAACCTTGCCTTCTCTACTATGTTTGTAGAACATGGTATGGCCAGCTTGGCTCTGACAGTAGCCACAATTCTTCACAGCTCTCCCAAATCTCTCAAACTAAGCTCTAGGGGACTGTTTGAGACCATATAAGGATTTTTTCAGTCTACAGACTTTATTAGGTCCCAATTTTCCCTCAAACCCAAGTGGTAGATTCATAAATACCTCCTCCTCAAGATCTCCATTTTAAAAGGCATTTTTTTACATCTAACTGGTATAATGGCCAGCTGAAATTCACAGCCAAAGATAACAAAATTCTGATTAAGTTTATCTTGGCTACAGGAGCAAAAATTTACTGATAATCAATTCCATAGGTCTGGGTGAACCCTTTTGCTACTAGTCTTGCCTTGTACCTCTCTATACTACCATCAGTTTTACATTTCACAGTAAAGACCCACTTGCAGCCTACTGTTCTTTTCTCCTTAGGTAAATCAACTATCTCCCAAGTACCACTTCTTCTAAGAGCGTTCATCTCTTCCATCACTGCTAACTTTCAATTCGGATCATCAAGAGCTTCCTGAATGTTTCTCGAGACAAACAAGTGTGAGATTTTTGATGAAAAAGCCCTATGAGTATGAGAGAGTTTTTCATAAGAAAGGTATTTGGCAATGGGATATTTTGGATTTAGATATTTGATTCGAATACCTTTCCTAACAGCTATAGGAATATCAAGGTCTAGTGGTTCTTGGTTAGGAGAAACAATAGGAACTGAAGATGAGTTAGGAACATAATTACCTGTGATATCTGGAGGTCCAGTTTCCGGAGGTTGAGATTGATCATTTCCAAGAGGAATAGGCTGACTTTGACTCTTTTGATGAGGTATTTTCCGAGTATAAAACAGAGGCTCAGTAATGGGAACTTTAGTACCCAGTTGTAGTGATTATTCCCCTGTTTCAGATATAGTAATGTCTGGCACTATATGACTAGGATTCCCTTTATTGTTTTCATTGGTTTTATCACATTGTTCCTGACTTTGAATTTCGGGAATAATAATAGGATAAGGTGAAGGAGTCAAAATCACACTTGGTAAAGGAGTAGGAGATAAATCCCAAAAAATTTATTCCATCACCTCATTCTCCCCATGAAGAGAATTTTTGGAAAAGTAGGATTTATTTTCAAAGAAAGAGACATCCATACTTACATAAAATTTTCTTGTTTGGGAATTATAGCACTTATATCCCTTTTGATTAGAAGCATACCCTAAGAAAACACATTTTTCAGCTCGAGGATCAAGTTTGGACCTAGTAGTATTGGGTATATGAACAAAAGCTATGCAGCCAAAAACCTTTAGAGGTAAATCCGAGTATATCCTTGATAATGGAAAAATTCTTTTGAAACATTCTAATGGCGTGCTATATTTTTAAACACGTGAAGGCATTCTATTAATCAAATACGAAGCTATTAAAACAGCTTCCCTCCAAAGATATTTTGGAACATTCATTGAAAACATTATAGCACGAGCCACTTCAAGTAAATGTTTATTTTTTCCTTCAGCAATTCCGTTTTGCTGAGGGGTATCCACACATGTAGACTGATGATGGATACCCTTTTCTTTCAAAAAACTCCCCAAAATTTCATTAAAATATTCGGTTTCATTATCGGTGTGAAAAATGCTAATTTTTGCTTGAAACTGAGTTTCAACCATTGTGTAAAAATTCTTAAATTTTTTTTCAACCTCAGACTTTTCATTCATCAAATAAACCCAACATAAACGGGTATGATCATCTATAAAAGTAACAAACCATTTTTTCCTAGAGATAGTAGTGACTCTTGAAGGTCCCCAAACATCACTATGTATTAAATAAAATGGTTTTGAAGAAGTATAAGGTTTTGGCAAATAAGTAGTACGATGACTCTTAGATAAGCAACAACTTTCATAATAGAACAATGAACAATCCAAACCTTTAAATAAAGTAGGAAACAAATGTTTAAGATATGGAAAGCTAGGATGTCATAGTCTTAAATGCCAAAACATTATTTGTTCATAAACAGAATAGAACTAACACTACTAAGGCCCTGAGCCTTTTTATTACTGGAGAAGTCCCCATCAAAGTAGTAAAGTCCATCTATTATCTTAGCACTGCCAATCTTCTTCCCCGAGCTGAGAGCTCCGGTCCTGAAATCACAGTAAGAATCACAGAAAATTACACGACAATTAGATTCTTTGGTTAGTTTATTCACAGACAAAAGGTTACAGGCTAGTTTAGGGACATGGAAAACAGATTTAAGATCTATATTCTCGGATAATTTTATCAAACCTTTTCCTGCAATAGGTGAGAAACTTCCATCTACAATTCTAATTCTTTCAAGGCCAGAACATGGTGAGTAAGTGCTAAAAAGATTGGAAAGGCTGGTCAGATGATTAGAGGCTCCAGAATCGATGATCCATGGAGTATAATTTAGACAACAAGAAAGAGCATTAAGTGCACTATCTGTTTGTGCAAGAGAAACACTAGGAATACCAGATGAGGAATTAAATTTCAGCACTTCAGAAGGTGATCCATCTGCTCCTTGCTTAAGGGACTTGTCTCAGCTTCATTAGCAGTAGGAACCGCACGCCTATTTCTATCACCAAGCTTGCTACTCTTCCAATTTGCTGGTTTTTCGTGGATTTTCCATCAGTTCTCCCCAGTATGGCGCGGTTTGTTGCAGAAGTCGCACCAGACCCGTGGCTTCTCTTCAGTTTTTCGCTGAAAATTGACTGCTTTATTAGCAGCAGTCTCTGCAACAATAAGGGCAGAATTCTCAACAGGTCCCTGGTAGTCTTCTTCCCCAACATTACATGTCTGCGGCTCTCTTCTCTTCGAACCTCAGCAAACACTTCACCAATTAGAGGAAGTGGAATCTTGCCAATGATCCGTCCTCGTACTTCATCAAATTCCACGTTGAGCCCAACAAGGAATTTGTAAATGCGATGAGCCTCCACGGTCCGTTTGTAGTGATTGGCATCTTCAGTGGATTCCCATTCATAATCATTGAACAGATCCATGTCCTGCCAAAGGCGCTTAAATGAATTGAAATACTTGGTGATCGAGTCTTCTCCCTTCCGAATCTCACCAAGTTTTAGAGTCAATTCGTAGATTTGAGACTGATTTCCCAAATCAGAGTACATTTGATTCATGTTGTCCTAGAGCTCCTTGGCCGTGGAATAGCACATATAGTTGGAGCTAATATCCTCGTCTATGGAGTTCACAAGCCAAGTCATCACCATTGAATTTTCTGCATCCCAGGTCACGTATGTTGGGTCCTCCGATGCTGGTGCCTTCTTGTCTCCCGTCAGGTACCCGATCTTTCCCCGCCCTCTGATGTACATCCGAACGGACTGGGACTACCATAAATAATTGTCACCATTAAGGCGAATATTGGTGATCTGAACCGAGTGAGAATCAGTACTGGGGGCTTGGGTTGTCGGATTGGTTAATTGGGTTGTGATAGGCGAGGTTGACATGGAGGAAACGTTAGACATGGCTGATCAGCGAAGAAATTGTGCAGAAAAGAAAATTAGGGTTTTTTTTTTTTTTTTTTAGAGTGGCTCTGATACCATATAAACTTGAAAGAAAAGAAATATGGAATAAACCTTTTCTCTGTATTAACACACAATTCACAAGTTTACACGGGTTCTTTTTATAAGAGAGAATACACGCACATAACTAGCTGGCCTAATTAATAATTTCCTAATTTACAGCATTTGACCAATATTCTATTTACAGCAAATATCCTCCAAATATTATATTTACAGCTAATAATATTTGGTAATATTTGGTAGTATTACTACCGAATCTTTCCTTTTTAACAAACTCAAACTTGGCTCAATGAGCATCCTAGAACTTTAACAAGACTTAACGACTGGAGCTCGAATTCCTTTCTGCTTGAGTAAAAGTATACTCGTAATATCAACGAGCCAAGCTCGAGCTTCATCTCGGAGCTCTTTTTTTTTTTTTTCAACCTGAGCTAGAGCATCCTTCTACTTGGCTTGACTCAGCTCGTGTAGAGTCCTAGTTTTGATTATCTGACTATTCTTTGACACTCATTTTTATTATTTTATCACTTGCTTTCCATAAGTAATGTATAACATAATGTTATGGGAATTCCAATGAAGTCCAGGTAAATCATACGATCCTTGCTACTTATGTCACCCCTTTAAGAAATTGTGTATTTGTGTGTGACTTTCATAGTGTACAATGGTCATCTACTTTGATGTCCAACAGATGTGCGGAAATGCCTTTGCCTTGCTAATTCTATTCACATTCGATCTCAATGATTACCAGGTACTAAGGGTAAGACACTCAAAGAAAGTCTACTGTCGATGTACTTTCTTGATCAAATGGCTTCACCAAGACCTTAAAGGAGGAACCTCGACTGTTTCATCCAGCTCAATCATGAAACTGGCTGCAAAAAGTGTCAATATTCATCCAACTGTTTCTGCATTTTTGAATTCTGTGAAAACCTCGAGTTGTTCTGGCACATTTTCAGCAACAACCATTCTTGAAGACAGTGACTGTGAAATGGATCTTCATGAATTCTTGGAAAAGCAAATAAAGGAGATAAGCAGTTCTGCTTATGCTTCCAATACGGAGATTTCAAAGGACATTTTGTTGGGTGTTGAAGGTAGGCACCTGCAATCATAATTATATCATTCTGATTAATATTACGGGGTCTGGTGCTTGTTATTTCTTTTAAAATTTTGGGTTTGGAAAGTTATCTTGTAGTTGTTAGCCTGTTATTGAAGACTGTCCCGATGCTGTTGTTAATATTGAGTGTATTGCGTGAGAGCCCGATGCTGTTGTTAATATTGAGTGTATTGCGTGAGAGCCTTAGTGCAGGAACTTGGTATCTCAGAACCTGTAACAGGTCTTGTCACTCGAGTAATATGAAGGATGTTCCATGTGATGGGCTCCACGTAGTGGAACCAAAAATAAATATGCTCAAATGATTCTGTACAAATTTTGTTGTTCTCTCTCTTTGGTCTATGAATTCTTTATTTGGTTTTCTGTTACAGCAACAATTTTCAGTAATTTAATAAAGTGATCTTGCAATGGACTCTATACCACATGGCCTTGAACTAGTGGTTAGCTATATTTAATTATTTACTGACGTGGTTTGACTGCTAATGACTAAAATTATAGTTGCTTATATTTCTACGTCTCTACTAAACATTCTACTGGTTCTTTCACTTTTATGTCCATAATTTGTAGTGATTTTACCGTCCTTTGAATGGGTGAAAACTACGAATTGATACATAATCCAGCCACTTTCTTTTGCCCAAATTTTGTGAATGCTCCTATGCTGTCTGAGCAATATGTCAAAACTGGCATAATACCATCAGACAGTTCTTTATAGTTTTGTGTCGAACCCATTTGTAATCAGGTTCTGATGCTCTGGTTGCTTGAATTTTCAGTATTCTATTTTGTCAGAAATATCTCATGGCCACGCATTTCTTATACAGTTGGTACCAAAGGACAAATTCAGTGCACACCTGTTGCCACATCCAAAGTAAACAAGCCAGATGTTAAAATTCCTCCCGACCCCAATCACTTGAAGAGGTCTACGCGTAGTAGGAGCAAAGCGCAAACTGAGAAGGAAGTCAAGGATCCACCACCCATTCAAGGAGAACTGTCAGGAAGTAGGTCTTCTCTAAATCCTCTAGCTGCTCGTGCAGCTCTTGCTTCATTAATGTCAAAATCACCTCAAAATCTTGAATTTTCAATCTACTATGAGGGAGAAAAGGGACGCAACTACTCATCGGATGATAATGCTCATAAGCATGTGGCTATGCATTCATTAAATGGGATTAAATCTTACAATTCTCCTATTGGGAACAGCTTGTCTATGACAGATAAGCACTTCTTGGAGACATCAGCTGCTTCAGTTCCATTTGTTCCGGACTCCAACAAAGTCGTGAAATCGCTATTCTCTACCTGGACTGCTTCAGGAAAGCCTCAACTCGTGGATGCATCTGCTGGAACACTGACCAAGGCTTGCGAAAATGAAAATAAGACCTCAGAAATCACTGATGCTATTGCAAGTTTTACATGTTCGATAGCAGAGAGGAAATTAGATCAGCCTAATAAAGCTACCAGACTTACTCGCTCAGCAATAAAGAGAGGTACTGGGATTCAGAATGACAATACTGAGAGGAAGACCTGTGTTGAAGAGATGGAATTACAATCTTCAACCAACACAAGAAGGTTTACTCGCTCTACAGTTTATAGAGAAAAGGAAAGTCAAACTATGGAATCTAAAAAAGGAATAAAAGAAATGATATCAGCTAAGTACACTGAGTCAGACTTTGCTGACAAAAATGTTGCAGTCCTAGAAGGCTCTGTATTGAAAGAGGAGAAATCAATAGCTTCATTTGATGCTGAGATTGAGCTACTCCCTACTGAGGAATGTAGCAGCATAGTAAAGAAAGAGAAAGGGAATAAGAAGCATGTTGATGAAAGGAGCAGCACTGATGCGCTAAAGTTAAGGAATTCAACCAGCACAAGAAGGTTGACTCGTTCAGCAGTTCATGAAGGGAAATGGGAAAAAGTTATGGAAGCTGAAGAAGGATTGAAAAAGGATGAATTAGCTCAAAATACAAAGTCAAATTCCTCTGAACCTTCTTCAGCTCAAAATACGAAGTCAAATTCCTCTGAAGGAAATGCTAGTGGCCATTACCATAATGTATTGGAAACAAAAGAACCGGACTCTTCACCACTGCTTGCTGAGGAAAGGAATAAGAAAGGGAAGATCTCCGGTGCTGTCAAAACCACTCCAAAAACTGAAGGTTTTGTGAACATCCTAAAAAATATGTCCTATATTTGTTTTATATTCTATGAAATTGTGGCTGAGTCCGACCTTATATCTATCTTCCCAGCTTATTTATAATCGTTTGCATATGCTACATGGGTCTTTTTATCTTTGTTTTATATTTGCAAATAGGGAGTATATCCTTCTTTAGAGCATGTACAATTTGGCTAACCCCATTATATGGGATAAAGGCAAGGATGATGATGATGATTTCTCACCCTTTTATTGTGTCATTTCTGATTTATCTTTCTGTACAAGTGATAATCCGTTTATACAACATTTTGACATAATTCAAGCATGTAAATAATGTAATAAAGATCGTATAAGAAACAGCCACTTACCGGCCGCCCAAATTTGGATACATCTGCACCTTTAGCTCTGTGATGACCTGGATAGCCTAAAATTTTGATTAAGAAAAAGTCACTAAAATGTCACAAAATCAACAAAAAAGTATATATATAAAAAGCATAAATTTCTTTGAGCATTTTGGTTCTGTTTTAGTCATTGTACTCTCTATTTAGACTTTTACTATAATAAGATTTAGGGTAAATGCTTTGGTCAAAATTGTGCTTAACCTTTCATGAGATTTGAACGAAATTGCCTTTTAGATCCAATCTGCTAACTATTGCGCAAGCAAGCACGAGAGAAGCTTGCAAAGTAGAAGTTTTGCCAGAAGCCAAATAAGGAAAGCAGAGCTGCCATAGAAGCGGTAGCTTCCCCGACCTACTAAATACAACAGTTGCAACCAGTTAGGGCCGTTAGAGAATATCTTATGTAATGCCAAATTTGCCCTTTATTAGGGTGAAATTACTGAGTTGCCAACTTTACCTTATTCTATATGACCAAAATGTCCATACTTTAATTTTTTACAATGCATATACACACTTTTACAAATTTGTAAATTATACAATTATAGGCATAATTAAATTTAATTTTTGTGAACTACGGAAGAAAACAACTTTTGTGTAATATTTGCAAATTTTAAGAAGTGAATACAAATTAATTGACATTCTATCCACGTATGTTGCATTGCAAATTTTAGAGTAGCATTAGCTATATGACTCTATCTACATATGTTACGTTGTATAAATGTATGCATTTAAAGCAGTATGCTATGGTGGTGGTGGATCTCTCATCATGGCCGTCCCTACTGCCTTGGTCAAGCAGCAATTAATCATATAATATCAACTCTGTTCTCTTTCCACTCCACACCTCAATCGCCAGACATTCTAGGAGGGAGAGAGAGAATTTGTAACTTTTTCCAAGTGATGTTTTATTTTTAGCCAAAGTTTTATTTAGTTTTATTTGAGGGTGCAACTTGCAAACCTCAGGAGTTCAGGTCTATTTACCATAATGGTTATCATAAACTGAATTTTTTTTTTTCGGAAATTCATAAACTGATTTTCTAGTTTTGCATTTGTTGCCTACTTTTGGCACTGACATTCTTCAATAATTGAACATATTAAGAACAATGCAAGTTAACATGAATTATTTGCATCACTTTTCAATGTGTCTGAATATTCCTGCATGTAACACTTTTCTGAAATGCATTAGATTCCCCTACACATTAATTCTTGAAATTCCCTTTCCTTCTTATTCTGATCTTCTTACTAAGTTTTGTTGTTACCTATAGTTTCTGAAGTCTATTCTAGTTAAATTCCCTGTCAAAACATGACCTACCAATTTTTTCTAATTGTGGAAAATTCCCTCACTAGGGATTTTGTTTATCTCAATTTTAATGCTACTGCACTCAATAAAAGATATATCCATACACATGACTTCCATGCTGAAGTCCTCCCTCTAATGTGATAGTCACTCTGCCTAGCACACATTTCAAGCGAGTAAAAAGCTTAACAATGACACTCTCACTAAGCTTCTGCCATCACAGACATTGGTTAGAGAGGCTGTCCTCACAGTTTCGATCCAATGGTTGGGAGGGTGCACAGCGAGAGCACCCCCATGATAGGCTTGTTCTTTAAGCCATATGAGCTTCTTCTGATAGACTTAATCATTCTGTCAAATTACGTTCCATAATGCCCAAAAAAATTGCAAATAGGTTTACGGTTATTAGTCATGTGATCCTTCCTGTTGGGAAGAGTACATTAGTTGGATTTGATTGGTACCCTCAGTCATGAGTGATACTTTATTGGCAGTAATGCTCAGTCACGATCTGTAACAACTAGACTAATCATGAAAATTTCCTTATATTTATGTAAATAATTGTGGAATAATTTAAAATGCAGTATGATGTTGCAGGGAAAGTTGCGGGCAGTGATGAAAGAAACCAAGGCGTGAAGAGGAAATCTTGTACTTCAAAGAAGCAGGAGTTGCGCTCTTCTTCCCGACTTAAGTTTCTCCCTCGGACTCGCTCACAGAACAAGTCTTAGCTTGGGAAGGATAGGAAACATGGCAGGTGCTCTTAACTTATTTTGCTTTTGATGCTATCTTGCTTTCCATGAACTCAGTTATAAAGAGGAATGATAATTCAAGATGAGATACTACTGGCTAGTGATGTTTATGCATATATAATAATCATGACAATGTCTTTATATGCATGCATTTTAGATAAATATCTGGATATAAAATTAACTGGACTCTTTATGACCTTGCTATCTGTCTATCGCTTTTATCTGTTTAATTGTGGGTTGAATAATGGAAGTCGAAGTTGTGAGTGGGGACTATTGCATGGAATGACTGGCATTTCAGTTAGATTATTACCATTTTCTGCTGAGGGCTTGATCATCGATAATGGATTTGTGCCTTGGGGGATTTTCAATGTTGATTTAAATTTCCACGGGACTATTAAATGTGATCTTAAACATTTAAACATTATTGATCAACTTGGTATATATCTAGATTTGATTGTTAATTAAATGCATGTTAATATCCTACAACTACTAAGTAAATTGTACAGTTTTCAGAAATTTTCTAGGCATTTTATATTCTTTTGGGTTAATTTTGTGCCTTGATGAGACATATACGAGCCTCGGAACAGTAAGCTTGCTCCATTGTGATCTAGAGGTCACGGGTTTGAAACACGGAAACAACATCTTCACATGCGGAGGTAAGGCTGCACACATTTAACCCTCCTTAGACCCCACAATGGCAGGAGCCTCGTGCACTGGGTTTGTCTTTTTTTTTTTTTTTTGATGAGACATATATGACCCCTTTTTTTCATCTTATTCTCTCATTTTTTCATTGCGCTTTGACATCACTATGATGGAATTATTCCACCTATTTTCAGCATTTGAATTGAGTATACCTCTTAAAATGGCAGTTGAAATTATTTTTTCCCTCTTTGCGGGAGAGGGATAAGGAACAAGGCCTACTTTTCCAACAAATCCTATCAGCTTTCAAACAACACAACAAAGTCCTAGTTTTTGATAAATATTTCCACATTAGTGCTAAATCTCTCAAATTTCCAATTGTACTCATTGTAATTTGTAATTATGATTTTTCTATTTTTGGTTTTCAGTTCGATGGTAGTTTTATTTAAAGTTCAAATTTATTTTATGTTTTAGTGAATTGATGAATATCATGTTATGACCAAATTTTTTTAAAGCAATTTAAATTTCAATTCAATTTATAAAATCTTGAACATAGATTAGCTTGTGATTTTTTAAAAATTTGCTTAAAAAAATGAAAATTACAATGAAAAAAGCCACTACACTATTAATAATTCATTTTTTTATTTACAAAAGGATTTGAATAACTTATCTTTTACTTTTAAAAATAAATTCATTATTTAATGATTAAAATTTATGATGGAAAAAAGGATCTAGTTGATAATAAAAAAGAAATAAAAAAACATGTTTGGATAGTTGAACAAAAGAAAGTTTTAGTTTTGGAATACATATCATGGGAATGATGTAAAGGAAAAAGATCGAGTGGTTAGAATTAATGTGAAAAAATATTTTACAAGCAGGACCTAGTGATTTAATGGTTATTATAATGAAAAAGTAGTACTTATCCATATTTTTTCCTTTCCCAATTCCAGATTAATGTTAGTCACCACTATGTTTCAAATCTAGGTTCCTTTGTGCCACATGAGATGGCATACTAGCTCTTTGAAATAGAGGATGATTCTGAGTAACAGCTTTAAAAGAAGTCCAAATTGGGTGAAAGTTGAAGTCAGAAACTTGTATAACGCCTTTATTTCAAACTAGATTTAAAACCCTTGTTTGAACCAACCACTTGAAACAGCAGCTTCTTTTAAAAGTCTCTACTTGAATTAGCAGCTTCAAAGTCAGCAGCTTTTCCTAACTGGTTCCTCACGAGGATTAAAGGATCCCTGATTTGGAACTAGTTTCGAAAAAACTAGTTTGAGATCCTTTGTTTCCCTCCCCCTTCTCTCAAAATTAGGAAATATTGTGGAGGAAAAAAATCTCTGAATTGAGCATATAGTTATACTCATTTCTTTATTGTCATTTAAATAAGTAGGAATTTGACTCTAGTTTGCTTGGCAAACTTGTGCTTTAAATGCTGAGGATCGAGCATGAAGATTCTTATGTATATTTGTGAGAACTTTATTTAAAGGGACCTACCTTTCAAGGGAATTTATCTGCCCTCCTGTAGCCATATGAGGTTAGTCTTTAAGATAAGACTCTGGCTACTAACTCCAGTACTCATTAGCTTATTTTAAAGCATATAACCACCCATTTTACTTGGTATTCATTTCTCCAAAAAATAAGATAACATGCATAACTCACAGCATTTTCAACTACAAGTTCGGTTAGGGCTTAGGGTAGCAGATCTGAGCCTGTGTTAGGTACTAGCCAAGTTGAAGGTCTATTTAATCTCTCTCTCTCTCTCTCTCTCTCTCTCTCCATCAGCAGGCAGTGTAGCTCTATATAATTTCATATACTTTTTGCCGTCCCATATTTGTTTCCTAGTGCTCTGTTTTTGGACGTAAGATAAAAGATAGTTGTCAATTATTCCACTTTATGCCTTATATATAACTGTATCCACTTGGAATGAATCTATGATGCCTGTGGCCCATAATTAGGAGGTAAAAACTATCAGGATGGGTTCCACAATTAATTGAGTTAGATATCTTTGTAGAAAAAAAAAAAAAAGGTTTACATTTTGGAAATGGAAGGGACTAGTGGAGTGTTTTTAACAAGAATTGCTATTCTTTACTTTATTAGCACTATCAGTATCATTATCCATATCGGTATTATTGCATAATTATTTTGTAAAAGATCTTTACATATTATAGCTAAATTAACTGCTGCAATATGCATATTCTATACTTATGTGCATTTTTCTTTGCTGATTTTTTACAATAATTCTCTTGAGACATCGCTTACCTATTCCATCTTACTAGTGAATCAGCATCCTTATACATTTCACTTGTGTAAAATCATGTCATTTATAGAGAAGTGTATGTATTATTTGTATCTTATTCATAGGACATAAAGTTGCTAGTAGATGTCCTGTGATTCAGATTGCAATGAAATTCTCTTAAAAGCCTAATTTTGTCTCCCTGATGAAGCCTAGCTCCTCATTACAGATCAACCAGGCCCTGTAAGTGTGCAATGCAACTAAGCTACTTTCGAGACCTAGAAAAATGATATGGTGATAATCCACAAGGCCAGTAATGTTGGTTCAAGTCTGTGTCATCAACCTTTAAGTTGTTTTACTGTTTGATTGATAGTTTGTCTCCATTTTCACCAAACTATACCATGTTATCTATCTGTCTGTTTAAAGAAGTTAATGTCACGTGTAGGCAATATGTCTCAGTAAGATTCATCCTTACACAATCTAATTGATAAATTAGATTTTGTTCTTTGTTTTTATCATCTGCATTAAAAATAAGTTCATCAAATATTCAGAATTATTCCATCAATTGTTGCATTATATTAGAACTTTATTGTAGTACTTCTTAAAGAAGCCAAAATTCACGGGTATGACACTTTTATGCCCACTTGTTTTAGTTTTTTCTATGCATAACAAAACATGGAAAAGTTATATATTCCAGCTGTTGAATTTACAAAAGACGAATCATACGAAGTGTATGAACAAACTAAATCAGATTTTACAATGAAAATACTGGCCTAATTATTCCATTTGCAGCATTGGTTTGGTAAAGAGGACAGCCCGAAATTATCAAATCATCAAGGTCAATGTAGGTTCTGGTCATGACTATTTAACTTTTAAAACAAGACTGTCTTGCTTATTATCCAACGTATGGCTTCTTCTATTGAAGTTCAGTCCATCATCTGCATGGTAGACGAGTTGGTAAACTGGCTTGTATGCAAGTAAAATTTAGAATTCCAAATGAAAATAGAGTTGATGATTGATTTGCTTTTGTTACAATGGCTACAATACAAACTTATTAGGTTTTTCGTACCAGAAGGCGGCGAGGTATGTGGCTTCAATATTACAAAACTTTTAATGAATTGAGGTAGTACTAGTTAAACTTTGGCAAACCCTAAGTCTAGGGCCCCTTATAGGGTCAGTATAACATTATTTGCATGTGGATCATGGAGAAGCAAGCTGTTCTGTCAATTTAGCTAACAGTAAAGGGTATTCTGGCATCTGGAAAATATTTGGGAATGTGACTCACTGTGATTGTGATTGTGATTGTGATTGTGATTGATCAGTGATTACAAAATTCATGTTGAGTGCTGATCAGAGAGAGCATATACACTGTACACAGCATTTGGCAGGTATTTGCTGGTACAACTCCTTTATTCATCTTCTGTTCTTACCATTTGGGAATGGAATCAATTGCAAGTGGATTTGGTATCAGCCTTGTCCTGCCAACTGATGTATTTGAATGTGCATTTAGGTGCCAAACGTTTGAGAACATTCTTTAGCACCCAATAATGAAGCCAAAAAAGAATTCTGCACAGCATTGGATTAGTGAACATTGCACTGGAAAAAGAATTAGGAGGGACAGTCACTAAATTAGGACCTGGCATTAGCATGCTATTTGTATCAGTGTGAATAGTTTGGATTTTTACTGATTTGGAAATCATCCCTGTCATGAAATGTCTAGATTGCCCCTTATTATTTTAATTGATTTCTGATATAAAATATCAGTAGCAAAATGACCAAAAAGCCCGTCTTCACGCTCTCTTTCTACCTTCTCATCTTCTGCACTCCTGAGAAACCCTAACCCTAATCTCCATTTGGGAAAAAAGGTTGAAATGAGACATGGATGGAGAGAGAGTACGGTGCGATTCTCAATAAGGGTTCTCGGCAAATTGGAATCGGTTTTTGTAATGGGGGTGTAACATTGATTTCTCCATCTATCTTGGATAGCAACAAGTGTTGTTTGATCCATCCAACACCAAACTCACAACTATTCAAACTGCTGGCTTTATATATGGACAGTTGTTCTCTCTGTAATGTCTGATCCATCCAACACCAAGCTCACAACTATTCGAACTGCTGAATTTATATATAGACAGTTGTTGCTCTCTCTGTAATGAACAAGTGTTGTTCACATTTCTCACCCCAAAACATACATTCCCCTTGGAATTAGATTTCTCTAATGGCTCCATTCTTGTCCTTCTATTGGTGCTTTGATTCGTTTCTTTATCTGTATCTTTGATCCCAAATTCAAATCAATGGAAACTGAGCAAACCCATTTCAGATTACTTGAGTAAGTCCTAGTTTATTCAAATTTTCATTTTTTTTGTTCTTCCAATAAGTTTAATGTCTTGATGTGAACTTTTTACCAGGAATGTCTATCTGGTTTATTTGATATGCAAAGTGCCGATATATATATATATTTCATTTTTCTTTGAGGGGTATTTTTCAGTTTGTAAATAAGGGTATTTTTGTGCTGGAGAAAGAAAAAGCATAATGTATTTTTGTCCGTACAAAGAGTCTTATTAGGATAAATTGATAATTTGATGAGTCAAAAGTGCCATTTTGTAAGTCAGTTTGTATATTAGTGTATTTTTGTGCTGGAGAGAAAGAAAAAGCATAATGTATTTTTGTCGCTAGTAAATTGATAATTTGACGAGTCAAAAGTGTCATTATGTAAGTGAAAGGGTATTCGGGACATTTTCTTTTTCTTACAACAAATTCACTTAGTTACATAATGGGGTTTTCTTTTTTCCATCTCTTCTTTTCTTAATAACTCAAGACACTAGAAGGGTTAAAACTTACATTTTATGGAGTATTTCTCTTCGTTAATATTTATTTTTTTGGGGATAATTTCAGTTACCTCTTGAGATTAGGTATAATTAAGTTTTAAAAATTACATTGAGCTAATGTCAGGTCCGGTGTAACACTTTTTCCCTTTTCACCTTCTGATGCAAGTCCATGCCGGTCAATGCCTTTTTTGGTTGGCATCATTCAATTTTGAACCTGAAGTACCATTTTTGCTATTATTATAATTACAAATATATTTTCATTCTCACTTTGTTTGGAATCAATTATTTTAGAATTTGGAAAATGAATTGAAATTAGAAAAGGAATGGGAATTAAAATGAAATTCCATTTCTATGTTTGGAACCAATTGAATTTGAGGTTGGATTTAAAAGGAAATTTGGAATAAAAATAATATTATACTATTTTTGCCCTTGTTTAAATGATAAATAAAATATTTATTTTATTGTCAAATATGCTTCAAAAGTTACATCAAATAGACAAACAAAAAGAAGGACTAAATGATATAACTGAAATATAAAATTTACTTATTTAACATATTTAACAGATCACGTAAAAAAAAAAAGAGTAATTATTTTTTAATTAAAAAACTAACTTATTAAACATCACTAACATACTTAAAAAAAACCACTAAAAAATAAAATAACGTTGATAAACAGTTATATGAGAGATGAGAGAGTAGTATGAAGTTAATTAAATATCGATGGAGATAGAAATATGCTAATATATATTTAATAAGATGGAGTTAAATGAGAAGAAAACAATTGGAGATTGAAATAAGTTAAGTAGATATTGTACCAGGTTAATTAAGATAATATCGTATTTATATTTCAAATCCCGTTAAATTCTCTCATTTTAGACAGGATTTGAAACACATCAAAAACAGTATTTGAAATTCCATAACTTTAAAATCTCATTCACAATCCAATGATTCCAAACACTGTAAATCCTATTTTTAAATCCAAATCCAATCCAACATTCCAAACACAGCGTTACTTTTCAATTCATAATTACCCATATATCCTCACGATCATAGTTTTTTTTTTAAAAAAATCAGAATTACCCTCTCCATACCGTATATACATAATAGATAAATATATCTATTTTCCTCTGTAATCTATATACAGACAAATATATAAATACCATATAACATAGTATATGTATACAGTAAATCACCCTATGTTGATCTGCGGTGTGTTGCAGCGGCTTCTTCTTCCTCCATGCCTTCTTGGTTGAGTTCTTACAGATCTGGCCTCTGACCCACTTCTTTTTTAGCCGTCATCCGCCACCGGAATCACTCCGGGACCGACCCATGGTTTGGATCGGTACAAGTCTTAGACGGATCCAAAAAGCGTGCCAGTGACTTTCTGTTCCAGGGTTTCGACCGCAGAACACGGCGGCGAAAACAAGAAATTGCAGATCTCGGATTCGCCAATTGATAAGAACTCGGCGACGGCAACGTAGAGGATGGCCGACGCTGAGGTCCTCATCGCCGCATCAACAACCACCATGGATGGTACTCCATCCTTTAGGTCGACCGCCGCTCCGACGAGGTCGATCTCACCAAGAAGCAGCGTACTCGCACTTATCCTCCACCCCGACAAGAACAAGTTCGCCTTCGCCGACTCTGCCTTCAAGATCGTCGTCGGCTCATGGGCTGTCCTCTTCGATCCGGCGCTAAAATTACTGTACAAGCTAGAAAGAGAGAGCGGGGGCTCATATTTTGGATCCGGACCATTCTCTAATGCCGGAACACTTGCAAGCCTCCGTTACCTGTCGGAGATGTCGCTGCTTTTGTTCCATGGCATCATCGGAGGTAAATAATTACGTTATGGCGGTGGTGGTGTCTATGACTGTCGGGGTAGCGGTGAAGATGGTTTTGTTGTGGCGACGGTGAAGATGGTGGCTTTGTTGAAGATGATGGCTTTGTTGCGGCGGTGGTGAAGATGATGACTCAGACGATATGTTCTGCAAATCTAGGGCTCAAGAAGGTCAAACTTCAGGAAAAAAAAAAAAAGAAAAGAAAAAAAGAAAAAAAAAGAAGCCCAATTTTCGGGAAAAAATATTATTAGGGTAAAAGAGTAATTTGATAATTAATTATTATTATTAATATAATATGAAAGTATATTAGTACATTCATAAAAATTTCTAACATAACTAACCAACATCGGAGGAACGTCAGTCTAATTTTTGCAACGTAAAAGATATTATCTATAATTACGCCTAACTTCAGAGGGTGAAATTATTCCTATTTTTTCTATTCCTTCCTCTTGCCAAACATGTCTCTTCATTAATATTATATTTTTATTTCCTTCCTCGCTGCCAAAGTTGCCAAAAACTGTAAAATGTTGTTACAAGTTGACACATGGCGTGTGAGATATTGGGAGAGATAAAAATGAATACGGATGTAATGTTCGATATTATTTTTATTTAACAATTGAATTAAAATATCTATTAAGTCATTTAGTTTGGACTGTTCACACTTTACATGATTGTTAAAAAATATTTTAGAAAGTTAAATATAATAGGTGAGGGTTCCAGTGGGTGTGTGTGAGTTTTTTGCCCATGACAAAAAACATAAAAATAAAAAATGTAAGAAATAAAAAATTTATGTCAGATGCATTCATATGAAATTAAAGTAACATATATATATATATCTTAAATTTTTTTTTCTCAATTTGGGACCCATCCAAAAAATGATGTGGGGGCAATAGTGAGGTTCTTTTTCTAATTTCAATGGGGACAATATTAAAATTTCATAGGTATATAATTTTTTTTTTTTTTAAATGACTAATATATACTAATAAAAAAAAATCAGTGGTGGCAAATGCCCCGATTGACTAGACTATATAATAATTTTATTATTTATTTATTTATTTTTGTCATTGATAAGAAACTCACACACATCACATTCACACGTCCATCGAACCCTCATCATCCACTTTAAAATATAGAGGAGATACCACGGGATCACAAAACCCTTGGTGACTAGTCTATATAACTAGTGAGTGTCATATTTCAATCCAGTGATTAAATAAAAAGAATTCATGTGACCTCTAAGTAATATTACTCTTAGTTTTCCATTAATTGTTATTTTTTCCTTGAATATATTAACTACTTTTAACACGTGTTTATTTATGTAATAGCAGTGAGGTCAATTTTGAAGTTGAAGAATTTTGTTAGGGTGTATTTACTACTCCCTTCGTCTCATAATAGATGTTTCTTATTGGGAGTAGAACTTTTTAAAAGGTTGCAAAGTTACCCTTTCAAGTTTAAATATATATATATAGTCAAGTTTGGAATTATTTAAAATTTTAAAGATATTTTATGGAAAGATGTAAAATATGTTGTTTAAATTTGATAAGTGGATGAGTATTTTGGGACAATTCAAAAAAAAAATGGATAACTATTATGAGGTGGGGGAAGTATTTTATTTTACTGTTTCTTGTAGGAAAAAGTATTCAAGAACATAGCAGGTCTAGGCACTTTACAAAGTGGTTGGGAAGATTATTTAAATAAAAACGTATATGCCTGCCAACTGAATTTCATACTATATCAATTTGTTCCCATTTTCTCTTGAAATACCCCATTAAACGTAAAGTAACCATCTACCTTCACAAATTCCAGTAAGTTTTACTATATATATTTTCTAAACACACTCATTAGCAACATATTTAGAAGTTAGGACTTATCCTTTAAACTAAGGGCTCCCATTTTGGATTAAGAAAAAAAACAAAGGTGGGGGAAGAAAAATACAGACAGAAAAAAAGTGACTCACTCTTCTCCTACAAAAACCTCATTTACATGCTTGCATGAAATAATGGAGTTCTTCATACAAAGCCTTTAGCTAACCCCATCTCTCCATCTACTAATTAACCCACAGGATGCCGGCGAGGGCGATGATGGCGGCGGACCAAGCCTGGGCGGTGTGGCGAAGGCGCCTTGGCTCTGCATTCCGGACGGCTCTGGCATGCGCCATGGTGGGGTGTATCACCCTCTATGGCCCATCTTCTCTTCAAAATCAGCTAGCATTTCCAGCTTTTTCCTATGTCACGGCTGTAATAATCGTGTCGGACGCGACACTGGGCGACTCCGTAAGAGGCTGTTGGCATGCCCTGTATGCTACGGTCCAGGTAGTGCCCCCCTCCATGTTGAGCCTATGGGTGCTGGGGCCGGCCCGGTTCTCATCGGTTGGGTTGGCGGCGATAATGGTGGCGCTCAGCGCTTTTGCGGTGGCGCTGCCGGAGTCCACTCACTTGATGGCCAAAAGAATTGCTTTTGGACAGATTGTGATTGTGTATGTGGGCGCTGTGATTCATGGAGACCAAACAGGAGCTGTGATGCACCCACTTCATGTTGCCTCGAGTACTGCTCTTGGGGCCTTTGCTTCTGTTCTTGCTTTGCTGCTTCCATATCCTAGGCTGGCCTGCTGCGAGGTAACATGCATACCAGTGGTTTTTACATGCCATTAGACTAGTAATAATGTGGTAACGATAATTTTGAATTTTTTTAAATAATTAGAATATCTATTCTTTTTTTAAAAATCAACTTTAATATTACGCAATTATTATTCCTCTCTTCTTCGCGTCCAATTTCTGTCTCTCACTAGTTAAATGGATTTTTGGAGAACAGATGGATCTTACTGAAATCGTCTAATGACTGTTTTGAATCAATTATTAAGTCCACTGGAGCAGCACCAAATTTGGTGCTTTCGTTGCTTCCGCATTGGAGTATAAAAAAAAATGACTTTTATAATTAAAAAGTCAATTTATTTTTCAAACTTACAACATATATATAAAAATGGTTTTATTTCTTTGCTTTTAAAAATCTTGTTATCAAACATTTGTATTAATAGCATTGAACACGTTTTAAAATAAAAACGTTGTTTTTGTTTCGGATTAAAACAAAAGTACAAAACAATCACAGATAAAATAAATAAATTAGTCACCGACAAATTAGGCGCGACTAGTTAAAGATTGGATTGTGTTAATTATTAAGCTTAACTAGTATAAGATGTAATTTTAATATTTAAAAGTGGAGGATGTAACTAAAATTTTTAAATATTAAATTACACCCTTTCTAACATTTTTAACTTTGAGATTAATAAACCCTTATTTTTAACTTTTAGATTAATAAACCCCTGAGCATATTAAACTAATACATTCTAATGAGATCAATAATGTCATTTAAGAATAATCAACATTTGTCGTTACACTCTTCTTATTCATCCACTTTTGGACGGAAGCAAAATGGTGATTCGGGCGAAAGGTTGTTTGTATCCCTCCTCCATACTGCTTCCCCTCTTCCTCTTCCTCTTCCCAAACATAACATTGAAAGCTTATTCTATCCGCGTCTCTTTCTTTAATCCTCATTGTACACTTATTCCACACCTGACTGTACTATTATTTAAATTGACCAAATATTCCAAGAGGAAAACAAAATAATGTTTGATTCCTTGTTAAATTCATGCATGTCGGTGGTGGCCACAAAAGGAATTGTTCAAATGCCCGGAATAAGATCACGCATAAGAGCTCTCCTCAAATTGACCCTCCGTTTTCCACATGCTACCAGAATATGCACCTCTTTCCACAATTCCACGGCAAGCAAGTTGTCCAATTAACTCATCCAATGCATCAATTACCAATTGTTGAAATCCATGAATGGAGCTTTTCAGGTTTTATCTAAACAAGTTGCGTCTGAATCTTGTTCCATGTCAAATCACGTGTGAATCTTGTTCCATGTCAAATCGGAATGGAGAAATCTTAGACTCATAACCCATTATAAGTGATACCTTGATTTAGTGTCACATCAAATATATGTCCGAATTCAGATCGTCACCAGACCCTCCTGGCAGCAAGGGGTGAGTCGGCTAAAATAATTTATCCCAACACAACGGGACATAGCTAAAACATAAACTACGTCTGAAGTGGCCAACTACAGTCTCTCCTAATTATTTTTTATTGAATATTGTATTTAGTACCATACATGTGAACCATCAATCTTAGATCCCTCATTCAGATAACTCTGATCCCTAATTCAGATAACTAGAATTCTGACAACCATGCACTTATCCATGAAACACTGCTATGAATAGTCAATTTGGACAATATTTTTCAAAAAAACATAAAAATGATTATAACTTAGGGTTACGGTTTCTTGCATGAATAAAGCATGCATATGTAAATAATTAAATGCCAGAAATGAGTAGCAGTCCGTTGCAGTATCTAAAGGCTTTTTTTGGTGCTTACAGGTAAGAAAACTATGCAGATTATATGCTGAAAATGCTTCAGAGAGGATTAATCTCTTTATGAAAGCCTTCTGTGCCCAAGACAACCCAACTGCAGTTGAGACAATTTCTCAGGCCAAGCCCTTAGCTGAAACTGGAACCAAGTTTCTTCAAAGCATCAAACTCATACAGGTAAAGCTAATAACATTTGGTTGGAACAAAGACGCCTTTGATTGTCACACCCAAAAATAATACTCTAGCCTGTGGCAGACCCCTACCAGTACATGTTAGCTTCTAGTTTTTTATTTGATTAGCTGAAGGAATTCTGACTATTTTCTTGTGAACAGGAAGGTGTAATGTGGGAAAGACCAAATATCAGACTCTTGAAACCGGGTTCCTTAAACCCGGGAGAAAGACTGCAAGAGATGGAAATGCCGATAAGAGGTATGGAAATTGCCCTAACTTCTCCTTCATTTCCTGTCTGTATTACAAATCAGGAGCTCAGTGAGATCTTGTTAAGAGTGGAGTTGCAAATTAGCCTAAAACTAGAACAAGCCAAGCGCTTTCCGCTTTTAGAAACAACAACAGCTCCAGAGATGAAGGGGGAATCTTTAGACCAGTTCCTCCAGTATCTTAAAATCAATTCCGCAACACAAAAATGCCTACCAGCTTTTTTCTTCTTGTTCTGTTTAAAACTCCTCCAAGATGATTCAACAATCACTCAAAATATTCAGCCTGTCATAGATAGCAGTCAGAAACCCAAGACCGAAGAATCAAGAGATTCACAAGAACAAGCCAAATACAGCTCCAAAAGAATCTGCACTAACTGGCACTGGATTCCAAGGAATGAAACACTTGTGTTTGCATTCAAGTGTTCGCTTTCTTTGGGTCTTGCTGTGCTATTTGGTTTGTTATTTAACAAAGAAAATGGGTATTGGTCGGGGCTTACAATTGCCATCAGCTTTGCAACAGGAAGACAAGCAACATTTACAGTTGCAAATGCTCGAGCACAAGGGACAGCAATGGGATCGGTGTATGGAGTCGTGGGTTGCTTCATTTTCCAAAGATTTTCCGACATAAGGTTCTTACCTCTTCTCCCTTGGATAATTTTTACCAGTTTTCTAAGGCACAGCAGTATGTATGGTCAAGCCGGTGGGATTTCAGCAGTTATAGGAGCGTTACTGATCCTAGGACGGAAGGGTTATGGGTCTCCTGGTGAATTTGCCATCGCTAGACTCACGGAGGCTTTCATCGGATTATTTTGTTTCATCATGGTAGAGCTTCTCTTGCAACCCACCAGAGCAGTAAATCTGGCCAAGAGTCAACTCTCACAGACCTTGGGTACGCTCCGAGAATGCATCGAGGAAGTAGTTCTCTGTTCCAGACAGAAGGAAATGCCAACCTCAATATTTCAGGCATTGAGAGAAAAGCAAAATAGGTTAAAAGCTCATATCACTGAATTAGAGTTATTCACAGGACAAGCCGAGTTGGAGCCTGATTTCTGGTTCTTGCCTTTTCGTGTTGCTTGTTACAGTAAACTCCTGAGGTCTTTATCAAAGATGGCAGATCTCCTGCACTTTATGAACTACAGTATGGAGCTCCTCCTACAAGCCTCACAGAGATGTGGGCCAGCTTGGATGGAGATCCAAGAGCACATGACCACTGATCTAGACATTTTCAGGAAGAACGTTGCGTCTTCACTAAAATGCCTGGAAAAGATCGCTTTGATCAAGTCTCTAACTGTCTTTGAAAAAGAATTTCAAGACAAGAAAATAAATCACAACCTTGAGTTGGGAAAAGCACTAAAAGCAAATGTATGCATTTTGAGTACAGATGAGGAAGAGGAGAAGATACTAAATTCTTTCCTTCAACATTCAACGGAAGTGACTGATCAAATACATTCTAACCAAATTGAGGAGGAGCCAAAGAGCCAAATGGTTCTTTGTTTGAGTGCCTTGGGGTTTTGCATCAGTGGTTTGATGAGAGAAATGAAGGACATTGAGAGAGAAATAAGAGAACTGATTCGATGGGATAACCCTACATGCTGCATAAATTTCTATGAAATTTGCCATAAGATTGATTCTTTGTAAATAAATCTACCACCGCATATTATCAATAGAAGGTGTGGGTCTGGTAGCGACAAATGACAATAGCATCACCATGTGTAAGAGATTGCTAAGGAATAACCAAAAAAAATATTGTGGCCAACTGTAACTATTAACATTACTAATCCAGATTTAAGATAGGATTGCAATGTTTAAGATTATAACAAAAAATATCAATGAAAAAATTGCAAGTCATAAGAAAGAATGTACCTGCTTCAATAAGTCAGACATTCAGGATTCAAACCGACAGAGCCCCTGTCTTATCACAAAGAAGTAAGGGCATGGATCACCGTGGGTAAGAGATGTTGCTATGGTATAAGCCACAGAAAACATTGTGGCCAACTGTAACCCTTAACATCACTCATCCAGTTTTAAGGTATGATTGCACTGTTCAAGATAATAACAAATATCAACGAGAACCACATGCTTTAACAGGAACTTGAACAAATAACAAGTTATAAGAAAGGATGTAGCTGTTTTCAATATTTCATAGGGTTCAAAATTAGCAAGTTTCAAGATTTAAATCAACAGAGAATCACAAGGGGCGTAAAAGCATGTATCTTTCAACACCCAATTTGTAATTGAATGAGAGAAAAAAAAAACAGAGAAACGAGTAATCAATCAAGCTGGAAATCAAATGGGTAAGATTCTATTGTGGAATTGAGACAAGGAAACCTTGCTTAAAACTCCTCTGATATGATTTTTATTTTTATTTTTATTTATTTATTTATTTTTTGGTAATATCTTGTTGAAGAGAAATTGCCTGTAGCCCAGACCACATCAGACCACATCATAATTATTTCCTACGCAAACAGCCAGCACCATCTTAATTATCACTGTAAGCTCCATGACACTATCACCAACCCATATAGCAAAATCACCAACTTCACTAGCATCACCAAGACTCAAGAGTAGAGTCAGTCATTTGAGGTGGTCAATGTCCCATTAAAAGTAAACAATAATGTTAAAAACTTAAATGTAAAGAATACTTTGGTAAAGAGTCTTCAATATATCTATAAAATAAAAGCAGTCAGATACAGTTCATCATTGAAAAAAAGATCCAAATGCGGTACATTGTTGCGATATTTTAACTACGTTGAAACATACCCATTTGTTAAACAACTACATGACAAAACTAAATTGACATGCCTATTGCAGTCGCACAATATATATAAACCCTCAGTTGCCTTCATATTTTGGGTCAGCCATCACGAAATGATAAGCAATCACCAGCACGAATATAAAGATACCAAGAAAATTGGCAAAGAAGCCCAGGTCCTGATCGTCAATCATCTGTGATGCCACACGCAAAAATTGCAAAATATATTAGAACCATTATTCGGAGCACGGTGAGTTGAAATGGGGTACACTAGAAGTAAAAAAATCGATGACAGCCAAACTATCCAAACGTTAAGGTTACATACATCACAGGTGGAGTCTATACTACACGCGAATTGGCATAGAGATTATAATTTAGTTTGCAGCTAATTTAGTGAAAGAAACTCCAATTACTTAAGAGTCAGTGACCTATTATACCATGTATAACCTATAATTAGTGAAATACTAAAACATAATCACTTCTTTGTTCAATTTAAGGAGAGGATCATTTCTCATTTTTCTAAGTACTTGTACCCACACAAAATTGTACATGTACACAATTACAAAAAGAATATATTAGATAACAATGCAAATCTGGAAAGTGGAGCAATTCAAATAGTACACTTTATCTATATATATATAGGTATCGAACAACAATCATGCAACAAAAGCTAACAAAAGATTTGGTCTTGATTGATAAAATTAGAATGAACCCCATATATAAAATTAGAATGAATGAAAGATCTAAATAAAACCCTAGAATAGACGGTAATGCTTTGAAGGCGATGGGATCAAACGGAAGCAATGGATCTAAATTGTCTAATCTTAGGGTAAAGGCGATTGAGCATCTTACACTGGCCGCCGATTGCAGATTCTCCTGGATCCGATGCTGCTAGTCGATGGCACTCGTCAATTCTCTCTCTGAACCAGTGATGAATATATATAGAGTCAATTTTATATATACACGCACGTATATCTCTCTATAACGGAGAGATGAAGTACGTCGTCGTTTTTCGTGGGAAGCCCGTTAAAAGAAATACTAGTAAATCTTTGGGCCTATTTGTTTTGTGACTCCGACAAAAGTTCCACTACTCACTCGAAAAACATAAATTTGTTTTTAAAGAATCATATAATTGAAATTTTAAAAAACAATTTTCATAAAACTGAATTTGTTCAGTTGTTTTGATTTCAATCATCACCAAACAAGTAGGTTAATCCTCTCACTTTCTCACAAGCAATGGGGAAAGAATTTTTTTTTTTTTTCCCTCCTTTAAATGCAAATATTAATTGTTTTCTTTTATTGTTATTATTATTATTATTTTGAATATTTATAATCACTGAGCTAGTGAGCCCACTAGTCTAAACAAAAATTCTTCTACTGAATTTATAATAGAGGATCAAGGGCAAAAAACACAACACCCCTCAAATATGTTTATAGTGCATATCATACCCATCCCGTGCAAAAAACACCCCTTTTAATTTGGTGCAATCAAGTTTCTCTGACACGTTTAAAACTAAATTTGACAAAGTACCCTAAGTCAACAATTTTATAAAATATATAAAAATACAAAATTTTGTAAAAAGACCAAAAAGGACAATAAAAAGGACAATTCTGCAATCGATTTTCAATTTGGTGCAATCAATTTTGCGCACCCATTCTGCAACTGGATCTGGGCATCGAGATTGTCATAGAAGATAGTGAGCTCGGAGGCGACCGTGAACTATGACGAATCCATAGCACCCAGACAATTGAGACCCATTAAGCCGTGAACTATGACCCGATTGAGGCACATGACGCCGACGAAACAGAGACCAGAAGGCATTCCATTATTCTTAGCATTCTGTCTTGCCAAGACAAGATAAGTGGAACAAACAGAGGGTTTGAAGGAATTTGTTGACCAGCAGTGTAAATAACTAATAAGCTAAGTGTGCGTATAAGTTAAGCCAAATGCAAAAGGCACACACTAATGGAAGCGGGCAGTAAGGGGAATGGGGCTCCTTACACATCAAAATGAAAGAAAAATAGTATAATTGGGGATGAAGGGTGAACCATGTAGCTTGGGGAGGCAATGGTGGAACTTTTCACATCCCGCTTGTAAGCTCAACGTCAGATCAATGGTGGTGGTGATGGTGTTGCCACCGCTTCACTGCTGCCTTTGGTTACTCCTCGATGGCGAGATGTCGGATTACAACATCGATGGTGGAGCCGCCGCCACCCACACTATCCCCAAACCCACAATTGGGCAACAGAAAACAATGGAGAGAGAGAATGGAAACGAAATCGCGTCATATCATCACCACCTCTATAACGACCCGAACCCGTGGGTCATAATTGTTAGCCAGGTTCTTACTCGAACCTGAGAATATCCAAGGGTAAAACGGTAAACTAAGGTGTGGTAATAAATAATATAACTCTAAATGAGTCTAAATAAGTCATCATAAGTCATAAGGGTCATTTAAACCCATGACACAAGGTCCTGGACATAAGAATGAGGATTTTACACAATTGCCCCCTTCGTTTTCAAAGAATTCTGGAGCAGTTTACACTAAAAAGTTAATAACTCTCTCTATGATTGGAATATTTGAGTGAAATTAATTTCATTGGAAAGCTAACTTAAAATCCTTTTAGTTAGACTCAAGTTTGGCCTAATATGGAATTCAAATGAGTGAGATATGATCATTTGAAATTCGGGATTCAAAACTGTCACAATTTCATTTCGGCAGACCTGTGAATGCTATACTGGTCGACCGAAATGACCCACCGGTCGACTGGTTGTGACTCTGGAGTGTCCTAGGCTATTAGTTTCAATTCTAAATGATACCGGTCAACCAAAATAGCCCAAAACTACGAGTTTCTCACTGTTTAAGTGCCTAAACAGTTTGGCAACCCAATGGCTTCACTTGATACATCTAATATGGTTAAAATTTGTTCCAGAACATCCATAAACATGCTCACATTGATAAGATAATATTCGTACATCATAATGAGATCAAATTATATCATTATACATCAAAATAAATTCAATTACATTGAACATAGATACACGAACTTCAATTTATAAACTTTCTAACTATGTCAAACATGTGAAGGCGTCTTATCCACTTCGCCGCTTCTAAAACCCTGAAAATGTTTAAGAAAAGAGGGGTGAGCACTACCGCTCAGTAGAGATGCCTAAATGGCGTATCCTAAAGTCAAATAAGTATGGCACATAGCATAAAAAAGCATAATAAAATGAGTGAATTTCAACACATTTTCCATTATCCCACACAATTACAATCTGAATAATGACTTTACTTTAGCAACAATTTAACAAAAAGTCCTCATTAACAACTAAGCAACACATATGTAACATTGATCTCAATTTAAACAACAATTTAACAAGCAATAATCATAAACGATGTAATCCAATTTAACCAAATTCATGTAAAATTTCAGCATGCTTTTAAAGGGAAACACACTAATCACTTACAAGGACTTAGGACTACACAAGTTAGACAACCCCTACCTCAAAGTGTGCTAGCCAAACAAGCCCTTAAAATTTCAGCATGCTAATGGTTTGCCACTTGTCACCTTGTGGGTGGCTACTACTTTTTGGTTAGCTTACCTTTTTGCCATTGCACTTCCATGTCCCATTAAATATCTCCCACCAAAATAAATACACACACACACATATATATTCAGGTGAAATGACTACAATGCCCCTCACTTAAAATAAGAAAACTGGGAGAAGTTCCCGAACCCAAAAATCGTATTGACTTCCGAAAATTCTAAAAATAGTCCCGTCGCCTCTAAATGACTTAAAATAAATAAAAATTACATTTCTAAAATTATCAGCTTAAGAAAATGACCAAAACGACCCTCGGGGCCCGTGTGAAACGCAAAACAAGGAATTGATTAAAATAATCCAGGAAAATCAAATAAATTCCAGGAAAAATAGAAAATAGGAAAAATTGGTAACATTACAGCCTTATGGGCCTTTTGCCGCTGCAAATCCGTCTCCTCCATCGGTGGTTTCCCCTGTCACGTCAATTGAGTTGCCGTTGAACAAGAAGGACGGGACGGCAGTGAAGGCTCAGCGACGTGAAGGCTCGGAGTGGCGAAGATAGTGGATATCAATTCCCTTTCATAGACCCATTGATCCTGGGGTTCGCAATCTTGGCATCGAGATCAGCCCACCGCCACCTCCACCTCCAATCCACAACCCACAAGCCATTGATACCGCCAGTGGTACCCTGATTCACAGCCGCCGTGTATATATATAGATATATATATATGTGTGTGTGTGTGTGTGTGTGTGTGTGTGTATATATGTATGAATGGATGAGATTGATGTGTGTGTGTGTATATATATATATATATGGATATGTGTGTGTGTGTGTGTGTGTGTGTGTGTGTGTGGTGTGAGGAGGAGGAGGAGGTTGTACCATCAAGCAGTGGTTGAAGAAGAAGAAGACGGGAGGAGCTGATGGTGGTGGGAGAAAGAATCGGTGAATCGCAAAGAGTATATAGAAAATGATAGGTATTTTCGGAAGACTAAAAGGGCAAAATGGGTATTACAGTAATAATTTATGTTAGATTTATGACAGAGGGGTAATTTTGCACAATTTCAAAAGATTAGGAGTGTTTATTGCACACTTTTTCAAATAAAGGGGTAAAAATGATACTCAGAGTATACTCGAGAGGTGTTTTTTGCACTTACCCCTTTATAATAGGGTAAATTATACACGGGTAGATCGTTTCTCCCTTAAATATTAGTATTTTCTTTGGTCGACCAAAATTTATAAAATAACAATTTTACCATTCTCTTATATGAAAAGACAATGGGGACAATGGGGTAAATTATACTGACCACTCGCTAAGATTTGGACAAATTACACACGAGTCACATGAATTTTTAGATTAACAAATATTTGCAATATAATATTTTATTGTAATATAAGGACATTACTGATTTTTCACACACAAATTCATCTCTTGACATTTGGCGAATATATTTGGGGAAGTCAAAGTGATAAACACGAACAGTCTCTCTATGTGTAATTTATCCAAATTCGAGAAAAAATTCGTGTAATTTTTTCTTTAAAATACTAACAGACCATTTGAACTTCGCCGATGATTTCATAAATTTAACTTCGTCGAACAGTTTAGTCAACTTACAATTTGAATTTATACAGCACAGTTATGTTCTTTTTCA